AGAAATAAGTTTTCTTATATCTCTTTCAAGTGACCGGGGGAACTGCTGAAACATTTTTTTAGATCTGTTAGAAACTAGTCGTATTTCATCATACAAGCCTCTTAAACTTCTTGCAAGAAACATAGTTCTTTTGTGCTTTTGTGGTTTCGAACATTCCAGAAATTTATGATGCTTTCGTCATTGTTCAACATATCAGTGCCAAGTGCAACAATGCTATATATCCTGATTTTCTAACTACGTCTGAAATATTTGTCTTATTGCCACAGGTTCATGAGTGGTTTGCCATGAGAGTCACCAGGAACAGAATTTCAATAGCCGTGATAGCAATCGATGGAACTTTTTATGGAATCAGTAGCCTTATGCACGAATGAAACACAAGAACAGTTTTATTCGGGACATCGAATATAATGCCCAGCAGTATTAATGTTACCTCAGATCGGCACTAATACCATTTTTCACAAGAGTGCTTGAACTTGTCAATTAAATTTATCTGACTTATGTCCATATTATGACACCAAACACGTCAGCTCAAATACGCCGTAAATAGGGGCCTTAACAGAGAAAGTGCCTAAAACGTAGCAGAATACAATGTAGTAAAATACTGTGTATGTCTTGAACACGCTACATAGCAGAGAATTAACGTTCAGGCAAAAATCTAGTGTATGAACAAATAAACAATTGTATATATTTGTACTTATCTTACTTGCCATAAAAAAGGTTAAAGCACCTACTGTATTTAATTGAATGATAATATTTTGAGATAACCCCCGTTTATTATAACCGTTGTTCGTCTCCGGCTATCGTTATCCGTACAAGCTGTAAATCTCTATTGATAATGTATAATGTCTGATTATAGTAAAATATTATACTCTTTATCTATATGAATATTGTTCATTGTTGTTTCTGATTTTTTTTAATTAACTGTATTTAATGTTTGAATACTGGATCAATATAAATGAAAGCTACTGTTTTTATATCTCATTTAACATTATCTTAGAGTTAGGTTTATTCTTTAAGAAATACATATAATTTGAATCAAAATGAGTTCAACCATTTTTAAACATCACTTTTTTTATGGAAAAGCCAGCGTTTTTAACAAATTCGACATAAACAAAATACCGTTGACTGTTTACAACCCAATGCCATTATGACAGTCTTGAATACATATGACCGGTGTCATGACAAAACCAACATAGTGCGTTTGCGATCAGCATGGATCCAGACCAGCCTGCGCATCCACGCAGTCTGATCAGGATCCATGCTGTTCGCTATCAGTTTCTCTACTTGTTAAAGAGTTTGTAAGCGAACAGCATGGATCCTGATCAGACTGCGCGGATGCGCAGGCTGGTCTGGATCAATGCCGGTCGCAAACCCATTGTGTTGGTTTGTTTTGTCGTGACACGGTTCATATATCACGTATTCTTTGTTGGAATAAATGAAGCTGATATTCTGGTCGTTGTTAGAAATGTCGATCTTTTAAACGTGCTCTCACCATCCATTACACGTTTGAATATTGAATTGCTCAACATAGTGAGACAACACCTACATAATTCAACTGACATGACGCATTGAAACTAGTGAGTATAATCATTTTAACACTGTGTCAAAAACACAACCTATTAACATAAAGCAAAATTTCACACAGTAAAATGCTACATTATTGTCATCGGAAACATATTGCCAATAACAAATTGACATTTTATTGCTGCATATATATATATTTGTTTATTTGTGTATATTGACGTCAGGTATATAAAAATTGTTAACCATTTAAAGATATGTTTTAACATAATAATAATAATAATAATAATAATAATAATAATAATAATAATAATAATAAGGATGAAGATCCTGATAAAGCTGTTATAATTTTAGTAAAATTATGTTTATTAAAAAACTTAATAAATAATAATGAAAAGATATAGATAATAAATAAAAATTAAAATGGATGTGACGATGTAAAATGAAATCCATAGACGAATTAAAACAACAGTACTGTAAGCCAGGAAGTCACCCAGTTTAAACCCACAAGACGGACTCTCACCTTGACGCGGTTTGTGGGCTTAAGTCTCTTTGAGACAAACAAAGAGGAGTTCTGTTGAAATAACAGTAAGTTGTCCCTAAAGAGTAACTTTGAAATATTGTCGTCAAGTTGTTCTAGGTGAATACGACACAACCATCAGTGGTATGTATATAAACTTATATAATTTATTATATTTGAGGATGCTGTTATAGGACTTGTAGAATGTAATGCTGTTATAAGACTTGTAGAATGTAATACTGTTATAAGACTTGTAGAATGTAATAATGTTATAAGACTTGTAGAATGTAATGTTGTTATAAGACTTGTAGAATGTAATACTGTTATAAGACTTGTAGAATGTAATACTGTTATAAGACTTGTAGAATGTAATGCTGTTATAAGACTTGTAGAATGTAATGCTGTTATAAGACTTGTAGAATGTAATGCTGTTATAAGACTTGTATAATGTAATGTTGTTATATGACTTGTAGAATGTTATACTGTTATAAGACTTGTAGAATGTAATGTTGTTATAAGACTTATAGAATGTAATACTGTTATAAGACTTGTAGAATGTAATAATGTTATAAGACTTGTATAATGTAATGCTGTTATAAGACTTGTAGAATGTAATACTGTTATAAGACTTGTAGAATGTAATGCTGTTATAAGACTTGTAGAATGTAATACTGTTATAAGACTTGTAGAATGTTATACTGTTATAAGACTTGTAGAATGTAATGCTGTTATAGGACTTGTATAATGTAATGCTGTTATAAGACTTGTAGAATGTTATACTGTTATAAGACTTGTAGAATGTAATACTGTTATAAGACTTGTAGGATGTAATACTGTTATAAGACTTGTATAATGTAATGCTGTTATAAGACTTGTAGAATGTTATACTGTTATAAGACTTGTAGAATGTAATGCTGTTATAAGACTTGTAGAATGTAATGCTGTTATATGACTTGTAGAATGTAATGCTGTTATATGACTTGTAGAATGTAATGCTGTTATAAGACTTGTAGAATGTAATGCTGTTATAAGACTTGTAGAATGTAATACTTGTTATAAGACTTGTAGAATGTAATGCTGTTATAAGACTTGTAGAATGTAATGCTGTTATAAGACTTGTAGAATGTAATGCTGTTATAAGACTTGTAGAATGTAATGCTGTTATAAGACTTGTAGAATGTAATGCTGTTATAAGACTTGTAGAATGTAATGCTGTTATAAGACTTGTAGAATGTAATGCTGTTATAAGACTTGTATAATGTAATGTTGTTATAAGACTTGTAGAATGTAATGCTGTTATAAGACTGTATAATGTAATGTTGTTATAAGACTTGTAGAATGTAATGCTGTTATAAAGACTTGTAGAATGTAATGCTGTTATAAGACTTGTAGAATGTAATGCTGTTATAAGACTTGTAGAATGTAATGCTGTTATAAGACTTGTAGAATGTAATGCTGTTATAAGACTTGTAGAATGTAATGCTGTTATAAGACTTGTAGAATGTAATGCTGTTATAAGACTTGTATAATGTAATGTTGTTATAAGACTTGTAGAATGTAATGCTGTTAAAAGACTTGTAGAATGTAATGCTGTTATAAGACTTGTAGAATGTAATGCTGTTATAAGACTTGTAGAATGTAATGCTGTTATAAGACTTGTAGAATGTAATGCTGTTATATGACTTGTAGAATGTAATGCTGTTATAAGACTTGTAGAATGTAATGCTGTTATAAGACTTGTAGAATGTAATGCTGTTTATAAGACTTGTAGAATGTAATGCTGTTATAAGACTTGTATAATGTAATGTAATGTTGTTATAAGACTTGTAGAATGTAATGCTGTTATATGACTTGTAGAATGTAATGCTGTTATAAGACTTGTAGAATGTAATGCTGTTATAAGACTTGTAGAATGTAATGCTGTTATAAGACTTGTAGAATGTAATGCTGTTATAAGACTTGTAGAATGTAATGCTGTTATAAGACTTGTAGAATGTAATGCTGTTATAAGACTTGTAGAATGTAATGCTGTTATAAGACTTGTATAATGTAATGTTGTTATAAGACTTGTAGAATGTAATGCTGTTAAAAGACTTGTAGAATGTAATGCTGTTATATGACTTGTAGAATGTAATGCTGTTATAAGACTTGTAGAATGTAATAATGTTATAAGACTTGTAGAATGTAATGCTGTTATAAGACTTGTAGGATGTAATGCTGTTATAAGACTTGTAGAATGTAATAATGTTAAAAGACTTGTAGAATGTAATGTTGTTATAAGACTTGTAGAATGTAATGCTGTTATAAGACTTGTAGAATGTTATACTGTTATAAGACTTGTAGAATGTAATGTTGTTATAAGACTTGTAGAATGTAATGCTGTTAAAAGACTTGTAGAATGTAATGCTGTTATAAGACTTGTAGAATGTAATGCTGTTATAAGACTTGTAGAATGTAATGCTGTTATAAGACTTGTAGAATGTAATGCTGTTATAAGACTTGTAGAATGTAATGCTGTTATAAGACTTGTAGAATGTAATGCTGTTATATGACTTGTAGAATGTAATGCTGTTAAAAGACTTGTAGAATGTAGTGCTCTTATAAGACTTGGATAACTAGCAAGTTTTTTTCTTATTAAATACTTCAAAGCATTAAACATGCAGATATATGTAGTGTAACGAGACTTGTAAATACCTTTTTTTTTTTTTAAAAAATGTAAGACGAAATAAGGATGTGACAAACAATTCATGCAACAAAGTTGTTTTGGTTGTTTTACAACCTTGTGTAAAATGAATCCATTATGATTAACGGTACGAAATGTACTTTCGATTTTTAACTACAATTTACTATGTTTACTGTATATGTTTCAATTATTTTAAGTTATGCCTTTACCATATCCGGTCATCACTATTCGATTACATATATTGACTTATTGACCTTGTCCATTTTTATTTCAAAGTTATATCGCCTGAGGTACAGGAGAAGCTGCGATCTATCGCACAATGGCTGGACTCAAGAAAAGATTCGTCAATTTTTGATTACATTTACAGAATTAATCATGGTATGTTGAATCCTTTTAAAAACAATTTTTTTCGCAACCAAGATTTAATCATGAAATTATAATGCATTTTTTCAGGGAAATTATGACACATTTTTCATGGACATTTATAAAAATTGAAAATGACAATGTACGAGTATTTGTCCAGGTAAATTTCTAAAAATTGAAAAACACAATGTAATTGCCAGAAAAGTCGCTTGTAATTAAAATATATAATGTATTTGCAATGGAAATGTATAAAACTTAAAATAACTATGTTGGTGCCATTAAATTTTATCATGTGTTTCATAGAATTTCTTAAATTTCTTAGTATTCAAAATTACAACGCATTTGCAAGAGAAATTTCTAAGAATTGAAAATTATGATGTTCTTGCCAAGGAAATTTTCAAGAATTGAAGGAACAACTATAGCAGATGTATCCTTACTTTTCACTTCTGTAGTGTTATATGATAACATAGGTGTATTTATAGTTCTTGGCATACGCACAGTTTAATTTAGACAATAAAAAATGAAACACTTAACCTGTTGAAAACAAGCATGCATACACCATATAAGTGTTGTTGTTAAAATTTTACAGTTCATGTTTCTGTCCAAATTAAGTTTACTTCCATTACTGCTTTTACAAAGGGTGGCAAGAAATGTTTTTTTTATTTTAATTATCATTTTAATTTACAGGCGTTGGACTCAATCTATTACAAGGTGATATTAAAGAAAAAGCCAAAAAGGTATTTATCTGGAATAAAATTACTACCCAATTTGTTAAGTACGAAATATTTCAGTGGAATATTTTAGATAATGACTACCGTCGTACAGAAGAATTTTAATGTCAATTTGACGTTTAATCAATTTTAACTTAACAAAACATTTTATTTTCTGATTTTGTATTATATTTAATCATGTGCTGAAGGAAAGGAATAACCCATATTTATCAAAGAATTTTACAAATTAATTTTCACAACCTCATTTATGTTTATACATGCAGACCCAGTAGCGTTTGTGTGACCCATTGCTAAATACAACTGCTTCGCAACGCCTTCTCATGCCCATTCTTGAATTATAATGACCTGAAGCTCCTGGATGCTTCTAGGTTGCGCCTTGTGTGTTGATATCTGAAGCTCATTTCCTATTCACATTAGCTCAATTAGATTAAGGTCGTAGATCGAGTTGGCCAAGGCGCTCAATACCCTCTCCCTGCAGAACGTTCTGGGCCACTAAGGCCCTAAAGGGACGCACATTATCGTCTTTAAAATGAATTTTCGGCCCGCTGCCCAGGCATTCGGACTAACATGGGTACTTTACATCTCATCGATGAATCAATGTCATCTATACAACCAGCCGATCACTATTTAGCACAACGGGGTCAGTCCGTCTGTCCCACCTGATTAATCCCCACACCATGACTGAGCTACCCCCGTAGCTGTCGTGCTTAGCAATATTCCGGCTTCAAACCTTTCCCCTGGTCTTCTCCGGATTCTAGAATGTCTGTCAGTAAAGTTTAGGCAAACCTAGACTCGCCATTAAACATAGCATGTCTCCAATTTTGTCTTGTCCACCACGACCCTTCCAAACGGGCCTGCCGTTGACGACAGGTCAGTTGAATTAATATACTGGGTTTTCTCGATTGCAGAATACTCCCTTGGTGCAACCTTCTACCACGCATGATTCTAAAAACAAACTTTGACATCAGAAGCATGAATGATTTGTCGCTGTTGCAAGCCGTCCTCGGCGGGGCTGACCTGCCCTTTGTCTGCTTCCGTCATGCCACCATACAAAATTATATCATCTAAATTCTACATATTGTTACATTTTTCCCTTCTGTAGAATAAATATAAATAATACATTATTATATAACTAATATTCTATAAAGGCAGAAACATAGTAACACGTCTATGTATCATTTAACATTTTTTTTCACAGACGACCGCGAATCACAATCAAAGGACGGCAATCACAAACCATGACCAACTGTGGAATACCAGAGTTGTTCCTTACCTCATAGATTCTGCATTCGGTAGGACTATATTTTGTAATGATAAGGGTACTAATTAATCAATTAAAATATGCTCTTGATAAAGAAAACGGTGTGCAAGTCATAGCTATGTTGAAGTAAGACGACGAAACTGAATTTCTATATGTTTAACATCAAAATTGTTTATATTACTGCAACATGATTACTTTAGTCACTGCATTTGTTTCCGAGCATTTTGTCTGCATTTTGTATACTAATAATTTTATAAGTATTCCAAACATCTGTTTTGCAATAAACCATTATATTACTCAAATGATAAAAAAAGCTCAAGAAAGTAAGAAACTCACATGAAACTTGAACTTTTATAATTAGTAAACGAGCAGTTCAATCAACATCTTATTTCGCCCGTACTTTGTGTAAGGTTATCTTTTGAAATGAACGAATTAGGAGAGATATATTTGAGCCGCGTCACGACAAAACCAACATAGTGGGTTTGCGACCAGCATGGATCCAGACCAGCCTGCGCATCCGTGCAGTCTGATCAGGATCCATGCTGTTCGCTATCAGTTTCTCTACTTGTGATAGGGTTGGTAAGCGAACAGCATGGATCCTGATCAGACTGCGCGGATGCGAAGGCTGATCTGGATCCGTGCTGGTCGCAAACCCTTTATATTGGTTTTGTCATGACACGGTTCAATGATATTTATTTTTCATTTTATTTTCAGATTCTGCCTCAAGAAAGGACATCATGGCAGCCATTGATGAGTATCATCAGAAGACGTGTATTAGATGGGTACCTAGGACACATGAGGAAGATTATGTCCACTTTAAAAAGATCAGTGGGTACGTATCTTCATATTATATATCATTAAACAAATATATGAAACTCGGGCTCAAAATTCTTTCATGTCCTAATTTACACCAACGTGCATTAAATAAAGTATATACAATTATTTTCTCATTTTCTATCCAAAGAAATGTATTATTTTATAATAAAGTAACATTTATGTTGATTATTTCATCCGCTGAGTTTTAACATCAAGTAGAAAGTAGAGAGGGATGCTATCATTTGCAGTTTTACATTTTGTTTTTTAATCAAATTCTTCAAGATCAAGCAGGTCCGCACATTATCTGTTTGTAAGTTATCGAGGGGTTTAATGAATAAAAGCATTGAAAGCTGGTAAGAGGGTGGTGATAGGTAAACTACTGTCAGTAATCGAGAGGTGTTAATTGAAAAGGTGTTGTAAGTGATGGAATAGGGGTTATGTGTTATAAATCATATATACTATGCTCATCTTTAAGTGAAATATCTTTGTCCAGACATTTATTGAAATCTATGAAAGGTTTACTGAATATTTCTTATTTGAATTATAGAATGAAAAAACTATGCATTTGAAGCTGCATTCCCTAATAGAGGTCAAGTAAAGTTGATTCTTTCTGAAAAAAATGACACCATATATATTCATATTGTAACCCCCATAGTGTGTAGAGTTTAAAACATAACGCATCTACTTTATGTGAAGTCAAAACATGTTTATTTCATATTTACAAAGAGACTGTATAGGCTATATAGCAATTAACAATATTTTCAAATATCAAATCTGAGCATAACATATCTTAAAGCCTTAATACTATTTACCAGATGTTACTCCAATATCGGACGGACTGGCGGTGAGCAGGATATATCATTAATGGGACCATGTCTGAAGAAAGGCACAGCAGTGCACGAGATGATGCACGCGCTCGGGTTCTGGCACGAGCAAAGTAGACCAGACAGAGATTCCTGGGTTCATATTATATCAAGCAATATCCAGGACGGTAAATAATGTTTTAACTTATGTTCAGGCGTTTGTAAAAAAAAGCGAGATAACTTGTCACAAACAAAACATGCAAGTTATATCATGATCTAAATGTTCAAAAATCTATAAAATCTATAATAAAAAAGAAAGTTCACAAACAAAAATATAATTGAAAAAAGTAAAGAAGTAAAACACTCGTCATTCGTTATATTATGTCGTCATAAAGACTCATACATTTTTAACGGTCTTGCAAAAAATATGAATTATATTCTTTTAGAAGTATCTGAATAATTATATCATAGCATATGCAACATATGCAAAATGAATTGCAAAAAAATGTGATTAAATAAGTAATATATTATATTGTAGGCAAGGAATTCAATTTTAAAAGGTTAGATAAGAACGAAGCTGACACATTGGGTGTACGATATGACTATGGTAGTGTTATGCATTACTCTAAGTATGCATTTACTAAGAACGGAAATCCTACAATCATGCCGACACACCCAGCAAGTGCTGACATAGGTCAACGTGATGGACTCAGTGATTTGGATGTCGAAAGAATAACAACACTTTACGGCTGTAGTAAGTTTCATGAATGTAAAACTGGTCTTGTTTTGGACAAAACAACTTTTATTAAAGATGTGTTGGGGCAGCCTAATATCTAGTGTAATTCAAATTAATCGTTAAACTTTTACATGTATTTTAAAAATATAAAGAAATATTCTTTATTATCTTATTTGGAACAATGCATCAAAATATTATTTTTAGATTCATAATCATTTATATGTCTAATGACATTAATATTACTAACGTGAACTAATAATGTGTTTGATTTTGTTTTTGTAGATTACCAGGTTCCATCACAAACTACAACAAAATACGTCCAAACAAAACCCCCTGAAACTAAAGCTTCTTGGACAATTCCTCCTCTTACAAAGAAGACTGCACCACCCGTCACAAATCCACCACCGCAAACCATTCCACCTGTCACTAACCCACCAAAAACAAATCCACCTGTCACTAATCCTCCAAAAACAAACCCACCTGTCACGGATCCACCAAAAACAAATCCGCCCGTCACGAACCCGCCGCAAACAAATCCGCCCGTCACGGACCCACCAAAAACTAATCCACCTGTCACAAACCCACCGCATACAAATCCGCCTGTCACAAACCCACCGCAAACAAATCCGCCCGTAACTAATCCACCAACGACTGCATCAATGTCATCTATACAACCACCAGGCCCAGTTGATCATCCGGGATGGACGCTTTGGTCACAGTGGTCTCCGTGTGACCTGCGATGTAAACACTCCAGGTACAGGTTCTGTACAAACTACGACAAAAACTACTGCCTTGGTGAAAACACACAGGTCAATGATTGTCCGTATCCATGTAAATGTAAGTAAAACAAATTAATAATGTTTTATATAAGCATAATGGCTGTCTACAAAGTCAAAAGTTACAAAAATGGTTTTAATATATACGAATCAAAACAAACATTTAAAACTGTCTTTCCATTCAACATGATGATCTAAAATGAGGCTAGATACATTCAGCATATACGTATCTTTTCATTATCATCATCATTATTATTAGCAACGGAAAAAGCACATAAAATAACTCAACGCTTTAATATGTTAAGACCATTATGCATTCTTTTTTTGTAATTTGTAAGAAATACAAATGTATGTTTTTTTTTTTGTAATATAATTATATATACATGTATATACAAATAGACCCATTTTCGAGCTCCGCAAATCTATCCTTCAAAATAACTGACACGGTTATCATTATCCAATTATCAATTAAATAAAATGTCTGTCTTAGAAATAGAAGGAAACATTATTGTTAAAATAAAAGATATCAGAAGCAACATTTGATAGATTAAGAAAACATATATATGGTAATTTAATTCTAATGATACGATTTTTTTCAGTGGCATCTACATTTGGATGCTGGAAACAAGATGAGAAAAATCTAACAATTCCATCAGCAGAGGGACTATCACAAACACTAATGGGCTCGTACAAAGGTACCTGAGGAACATATTTCTTTATCTATTTTGACATATAATACAAAAGGACTTGCGAACAAATTTCCTTAATCTATTTTTGACATATAATATAAAGATATTTGCGAAAGAAATAATTTCCTTACTTATTTTGACATATAACACAAAAGGACTTGCGAACAAATTCCCTTTATCTATTTTGACATATAATACAAAAGGACTTGCGATCAAATTCCCTTCATTTATTTTGATATATAATACAAAAGGACTTGCGAACAAATTCCCTTTATTTATCTTGATATATAATACAAAAAGACTTGCGAACAAATACCCTTTATCTATTTTGACATATTATACTAAAAGACTTGCGAACAAATTACCTTTATCTATTTTGACATATAATACAAAAGGGCTTGCGAAACATATTTCCTTAATCTATTTTTGACATATAACATAAAGATATTTGCTGAAGAAATTTTATTTATTTATTATTGACATATAATACAAAGGTACTTGCTGATCTATTTTTGACATATAAAACTGAGGTACTTGCGGAACACAGTTTCTTTATATTTCTAAGTTTAAAGGTACTTGCTGAACATCATTTTATTTTTTTGGCTTGACATATAGTACAAGAGTATATGCTCAACACAATATGTTAATTTATTTCACAGTGTAAAATAAGAAATGTTCTATTTATTAAAATGTACCCGCCAAAATACAAGTTGTGATAATATGTCACTATCATTATAATACAAATGTACATAGTTTTGGCAGCATGACAAAACAAGAAAAAATTGTTTGTAAAGAATAAAAATATAAAGTTAAGAGAAACTTTCTATTGCTGATTTTCCGTGTCTGTAAAACAGTTACGGTAAAACAGTAATGATTTTCTCATATTTTCACGGTTAAAATGAATGAAATGAAAATCCTTAAAGGTCGTCAAAATAGGTAAAATAAAAAAAATGTTTCATGCTCGGTTTGGTAAAGCCTATTCACAGGAAGAAGATACAAGCAATCACCCATGCCCCCCTAGCACCGACTTTAGTAGAATATTGCATTAAATGATAAAAATGGTGAAATTTTAAAGTAAGAAACATCATTTTTCATATTTCTTGAAATATCATACACAAATCAACACAATTTTCGTGAAAATAATAAAAGTTCTCTTCGACTTTTACCTTTAAATCTGTTTTCAAGGTCGAAAAGACGCTCTTCAAAAATGCAGTAACTATGCGGCGGTGATGGGGTATCCAATGTTTGCTGTTTTTAATGGTGGTCAATGCCTGACTGGTCCTGATGTCCTGAAACAATTTAACAGACTTGGAGCTTCCGATAAATGCAGCTACAGCGGGGTTGGATCAACAGAATCTATGAACGTATTCACTTTTGAATCAGGTAGCAACTCAGCATGGTCTCACCATTATTCACCTATAAATTATCACTTGTAACTCATTAAGTTAATTTTTATCGTTGTATTTCACATTAAATTCGTACGAAATAGATACTTGTTATATGCTTTAAGTTCTGAACTTGAATTTTGAATTGCAATTATTTTGCTCCGAAAAAGGTACACGTTGTCGTTCTTACCCTTCTTGTCAACAACATTACTTAACTAACAATCTTATATAATTTGTTTTATTTACCAATTCGTAGATATAGACGGCCAGTGGTCGTTATGGACAGGTTGGAGTCGCTGCACAAAGACTTGCGGTCTAGGCAGACAATATCGTTACAGAAGATGTGATAACCCACCGCCCTTTGGCAAAGGAGCATCTTGTGCAGGCATGGATAGAGAGGAATTAATCTGTAATCAAGCAACCTGCATAAGTAAGAACGGCATTTATTGTATCATTTGAGATATATTTATATTTTGTAAAAGTTGAATAATCAAACGCAGTGTTGATGAATAGAAAATAAAGTTAAATAATTGTATAGTCGGCCTTAAGATACTTCAAAAATAGACGAGGACGCACTGGCATATTTAACCATTTTACTTAATTTTTTGTTTTCAAAGTTTAATGTATGGTATAAATATGTTATGATAAAAGATGAATCTGAACAATTGAGAGTATTGACAGCAATTGAAAAAAATAATGACGTCATTAAGATCATTCAAATGTGATTCCTAACTAAATTTACCTTTTTAAATCAACAGTAAATATACTTTTAATAGTTATTTAAGTAACGATTAGTTTAAACAACAACTATATATGTCCTATTGAATGTCCGCGTAAGATAACGTTTCTCAAATTTCATTTGTTCCTAGCCCCAATCAAGTGTGGTTCACGTTATCATGCTGGAGGGCCAGGTACCAGTGGCGTGATTTGGATGAGAGATTACGAGAATTTCATGGAATGTGAATACGAGATCGCCACTGGAGACCAGTTTGCGAGTATATCATTGTATATTCACGAGATAGATGTAGAATACAGTAGAGGTTGTATATACGATACGTTGATGGTGAGTAAAATATGTAAGGCATATCACAATGATTCCAGTAAATCATATTTCACACGGCACGTCTCTATGTTACTTAAAAATAAGATAAAAAACAGCATTCCCACCTCCAACAACAAATGTTAGTATTTTCATAAGTATAGGTTTGTTTTCAGTAAACGTTTGAACGAAACCATCAAAGTAATTAACAAAATAAAACAAAAAAGTTCTACGATCTTCATAAAGATAAGGAATAACTATTTAGAAATAACACAGTGTATACAATAATACAGGGTATGTTAATAAATGAAAGGGAAACCCTTTTATATACTTTGTGGATTTAAATCTGTAACGAAAATTCACTGCAGTTATTTGACGGGTACAACGCACGTGCTCCGCTTGTTGGGACATTTTGTGGAACCACACCCCCTGGAACATTTGAGTCTACGTCAAACCACGTGTTCTTAAAATTTACCAGTGATGAGACGAAGACTGGACGCGGATTTACAGTTTTCTATACAATCAATAGTCGATCAAGTAATTCTCATTTTCACACCTTTATTTTCTTCAGTGTATCTGCTATTAATACATTTTATTTCATAAATCAAAATAAGTAGCTATGTTATCATGAAGTAATGCTGTGTAACAAAAGCTATACACTCTACTAGGTGGGTGTAAAAATGTAAATCTTGTGTTTTACAATAATTGAATTTCTTACTAAAATAAGTATGTTTGCCGCCAGTTTCAGTTACAATATCGAAAGAAAACCATATTATATTATGTTACTCTCAATCCGACATCAGTACATTTTATAAAGTTTGTACAGTACTATTTTTTACAACAGGAATAATAAATGAGAAGTATTACGTTGATTTTCCTTTATTTTCCAGGGAAAGCATGTGTCAAACCTCCGCCTGCTGCCCATGCCACAATCTCAATGCAAGGGAATATGGTAGGCGATAGGGCGTGGTATTCTTGTTGTGAAGGTTACAAGATGGTTGGCCACTCCCCAATTACATGTGTCGACCAACCAGGTTTCGCGTTATGGGACGACAAGTTTCCGCGATGTGTTTACATGAAAAATAGAGGTATACAATTTGTTCAAAGATTATTTTCTTAAGAAAAAAAAGAAGAATGATATTTGAAATACTGATGAAAATTATAGTTATCTATAAATAAAACTATAAAAATGACATGATCATTTACAATAAAACGAACAAATGTTATTCTTTCAAATCCTAAAGAGTGGATAATTTAAAATTTTCCAAATTTACCCTGTGATGAGTGAATGGTGTTGTCCAGATCGTAAGATGGACGAGTCCATTTAAAGATATTTAGTGGGAGAGGGAGACATTTTAATAAAAAATATTCCATTTGAATATTTTATGAAAACCGTGTATACAGGCTGGACAAAAAAGGATGGAGAACCACCTAAATCGTATCCGGTATATACCGGACAAGGGCTTGAAGATAATGCTTAAATCTCGCCTTTCCAACGAATGACTTAAACATGTCTATTCTCTTTCACACCGATTGCAAAATGAAGCAAAATTAAAATGCAAAAAAACGTATTTGTCTATTTTGTGATCATGATTTCTGCAAGCGTCCAGAGGTACTGCTCCAATCCTGTATTGAGCTAAATCCAATAACAATTAAAATATCTCAGACGCGTGATTTTCTAGGGGCAGCGGTTGGCTTGGGTACAGTATGTACATTCGAGGATTCTCTGTGCGGATATAAGAACGAACCAGATTCAGGAATAACGTGGCACGTGAAACGACCACATGAAAATATAGGCAATAGCTCTCCACGTGGTTAGTTTGAACTTACAAATAATGATATAATTATATTAAAGATGTTTTTCAAAATTTTGTTTTAATTGTCAAATTTATACATGTAGATCTATATAAATATTTTTAAGTTCATTATAGATGTAATATTATCGCCACAAAACACTGAGAAAGTCATCATATAATCTAATAAATATATAAATAAATAAATAAATAAATAAATGAATAAATATTCATGAAGTTTTAAAATAAAATGTGGGTAATTATTGATTTATTTTGTAGGAAATTATCTCCACGCCGAATCGAACATACTGCACGAGGCTGGCGCAATGGCTAGAATACGTTCCGAGATGTTAACCAGCGTTGCCAACGAATACTGCTTGCGATTTTCATACAAATTTGACGGAGACGCAATGGCAAATTTTAACGTGTTTCTGGCAAATTACAACACCGACATGGCAGAGAAAGGCAATTCAACAATTGACCACGTTATGAAAGAAATAGGTCAAAACAAAAATGTTTGGCTTAATGTATCGCTAAATTTAAATACAGCACCGAATTTTCAGGTAATTTTCTTTATATCTTTTTGTTTATCATAAAAGTAAGAACGCTTCTAATAATATTATATCGACCGATAGTATAAAACAAGTAATGCATTCTTAAACTAATGTCATATGTGTACTTAAATTTCTGCCAAATACATAGTACCATAAGCTTTTCATTATAACTATTTATGACTAAATTGTTTACTTCATTTTTAGATAATGAAACAAATAACTTCCATTTATTTCAGAAATATGTTCTTTATTCTGTTTCAGATTATTTTTGAAGCAGTGCTCGGGGACAGGGTAGGGAACGCTGTTTCTATAGATAACGTTATAGTATCCAAAGGTCACTGTACTGTAATATAAGACACGTGCATTTAGTGAATAAAGTATTGACACGTGCATTTACTGAATAAAAAATGGCACGTGCATTTACTGAATACAATATTGACACGTACATTTACTGAATACAATATTGACACGTGTCTATGAAGTGGAATTCAATCAAAACATCATTAGATAAAAGAAGTATACTCAAACAAGCATTATCTTTAGTAAACGATTTGTAGATATGCTAAGAAATTTTAACAAGGTGTAAAATTGTAAATTACGAAACGGATGAAAACAATTTAGTAAGAAAAACAAATAACGACGATGACGTAGATTATTGTGTCTTATACCTAACAGATAGTGTAATTGTCGTAGATTAAAGTAAAAAATATTTTATATTTGGTTTTGCTTTGCTTATATATATATTTAAAGAGCACAAAAATGCTCTTTGGTGTTTAAATTCTAATTTATCCTGCTGCAATTGAAAGTGACAAACCTACAGTATAGTGACAGGTCAATGTCTGGTACACATTTGCTTTGCTACACAGACCAATGATACCTTGTTGGAAATGAAGAAGTCCATAATGGAAGGTCTTTTATCCAAATTATAGATTTGTGTTGACTTTATCAATATTTAAAATACTTATAAAAATGTGCCCATTCTAGACCGAATGCGATCCACTTTAAGTTGAATAAATAAAATAAATAAATAATCATAATTTAAAGCCATAGAACTTCTTTTTTGTCACAAAAACATTTTTCGACTAAAACAGTTTTCTTTGGCGAAGTTGTAACAGCCTCCATTTTGAAATAGAGAAAATAAGAATCCCTAAAGTCACGCGTCGTTTTATATGATCACGTGAGGTTTGTTGAGCAAAGACAGTCTAATGGGCTCTGTTGGCAATTCCGGTGTTATATTGTGATATTAAAATCCCTAAGACTTTGAATGGACTGTCCCTTACTCACAGTGCTTTAATAAAATCTCTTACTCACATTTATCAGTTCAAGGGTCAATATCAGTAATGTACATGACAATGCATACATTTGCTTTACAAAATGTAACAAAAGACAATGCTTACAGCACACAAATTTATTTCAGCCATAGAGCTAAAATAAATACATAAATATCCTTTCAAATGTTATCACATGTAGAATGAAATGAAATAACATAATATAGACAATTACTTCTGTTGTCTTCAAATTATAATGATATAATAATAACTGTTTGATTAAAGTTTTAAATGATTTCATCATTATCAATGTCTTATTATCAAGTAGTGCTGCAAAGATGAACACACGGTCAAGCTAAGCACCGTCCAGCACCGTCCAGTTTCAGTACGAGTAAAACCATCAATTGACGTGTTGCCAGTGTGTCAAGTCACCACTTGCTGTAAAGTACAAAACGAATAATTATAATTACACAAATAGTTCATTGTCACACAAAAATAATGTTATAAATCAAACAGTACAAACGTTTTCTTTTATAAAATTGAATGATATTTAATTAATTATTGAGGTACAATTTATTCTGTTGATAAGAGGGAAACCTCCACTCAAGCCGTGAGAAAAAGGCATATCGTTCAAGCACTGTACATACGTCAACAAATGTAAACAGAGCTTATATATAAACTAAAATATTTTCTTGTCAACAATAAAACAAACAAACTACAACATTGAACAATTTTGCTTCAATAAAAAAGACTTAGCAGCAGAGAAAAAACTTTTGCGCTGATAATAATCTTAATCATCTCTAAGATATGTTTTTATTTGACAGTAACGTACAGGAGTCAACATTTGAGCCGCGTCACGACAAAACCAACATAGTGCGTTTGCGACCAGCATGGATCCAGACCAGCCTGCGTACCGCTCAGTCTGATCAGGATCCATGCTGTTCGCTTACCAATTCTATTACAAGTAGAGAAACTGATAGCGAACAGCATGGATCCTGATCAGACTGCGTGGATGCGGCTCATTTAATGAAAATAATACTTTAAAGGCACATAACACCTAAAAATGAATATAATTTGATTTCTTAACAAAGGGCAAACATGATTTTTATAATGTTTAAATCATGGTTTTAAAAACTGTTAAATGTTTGTTACGCTGACGAAAGTAGCGATAAATGTGAAATGTAGCAAAATGTAAACACAGAAGTATTTTGACTTTCATGCAAAATACTTTCACTATAGCTGTACTTATTGCATAAAACAACAGATAAAAAGATGGTTCAAGTAATTGGCGATAAGTAACTTTTTGGATACTATAAAAGTACACCAAAATTGAAAAGTTTTTGAGAAATAATAATAAAAGCATTTCCGAGGCATAGTGGGCCTTTAAACTTATAAAATTGTATGTATAAGATACGGCGGGAACATATACCTTTAATGCTCTCCCTTTAGTTTCTATTGGTAACAAAGTTGATGTAATTGCACAACACAAACAAATTGAGGCATAAACCCAAACTGCCGCTGTCAGTGAGGCATCCAATAATACCTGAAATAAGATGGCTAAATTACTTTGTTATGATATTGATTTGAAAACGTCTGTCATAACTAAACGCCTATGTGAAATGATACATTTATCAGAGCACACAAGTATAAATTTTAACAGACGTACAGAACCTGACAAGCCTGAAATGTTTGGAACACTACACTAAATACTGTATTCCGGTATATACCGGACAAGGTGCTTGAATGATTGAATGTTAAAACTGACATTTTCACTCATCGAAATGCACTTTATGACGTCTAATTCCCCTTTCCTCACCGATTAATATACGAAAATGAATAAAAAAATGTAAGAATCGTCGTAGAAAGCGATATTTTCTTCTTTGAGATAATGATTCTGCAAGCGTCTTGTGGTACTGCTGCAACAAACCTCTGCATAATTAATGTTTATGGCAATTTTAGTTTTTTGATACTAAACTCTCTTACACTATTAGTGATTTGATCCCAAAAAGTAAGTTCATTACACATGTAAAGCATGTAAATTATATGTTTCAGTTAAAGTGACCCCCCTCTGTTAGTGCGATAAGGAATTACCTGTGCTAGGAAAGGTGTGATCATTGCGCCCACACGAGCACATGCCGAACATGACCCGAGACCAGAAGCCCGAATAGATGTAGGATATACCTACAAATATATATAACATTATGATAACGACACTAATTTGTTTTGTATAAATACAGTATATATAAATCACTGTAGAGTGAAAGATTTCCAACAATCTCACTAGCGTTTTTAAATATGAGCAAATTATAAAATTAGATTCGTAAGTGATAAAATTCCATATAAATGGGCAAAAACCGTTGTTTTTTCTATAAACTTTATACATTTCGATAAACAAAGTAAATATTCACAAAGAGTAACATATGCAGAAAGAATAACATCAGAAAGGTGAAATCTACATTAGAGATTTGCCAGTTTTCATGAAAAAAAAAAGCAAAAAAAAAAAAAATGAAGTTGAAATCGTAAATAGCATCGACTCATGGTATAGCAACAAACATGGTTTATAGAATAAATATGTTTTCTTCAGAAGAATGCTACCATCATCATAATTTTCATCATCGTCATCATCATCAACAACAACAACAATATAATTTTAAAAAAAATGAAAACCTACCTCGTGTAGAATATAACAAAAAAAATATTCCCCGGGGAGAACCTTTTAACCCGAAAAATGGAAAGTAAGTAATTCCCGTGGGCACTGGGAATGGGAAGAAAGAAAGAACCCGGGGACCCAGAAAATTGCAGCACCAGTGAAAAGTCGTCCAAACACATTTAAAAAGTTCCCTATTTAAAAGGGAAAGGGTAAAAATTAATTTGTGCTTTTTTAATTAAATTTCCCTAAAAATCGGGTCACATTTTAAAATTTTTCTAAAATACAAAATACTTACATTAAAGACAAAATTTACGAAGCAATTCAGGGGTAGCTTACGACTACTGGCCGTGCCGCTCTGCTGAAGTATTTTCAGAAGGGCACCTAAGGTCATCCTTAGTAAAAGCAAAGAACCATAATGAAAACGTTAAAAAATTTTTGTATTTTGGGAAACTACCGCCCGCTTTCGGAACCCCTCGATGGCCCAGTAGGGGGGCCCCTTTTGTGCCTGAAAATCTTTTTTCAAATTTTCGTTAATTTATTTACACGCAAATTTTTCTTACTTTTTGTAAACAAACGCTGGTTTTGTTAAATTTTGTAAATTTTAATAAAAAAATTTTCTCAAAAAAAATTAAACCCCTAAAAATCAAACAAATTTTTAAAAGGTTTAAAAGATTTTTTTTTGCTTTAACTTTCATGTAAAATTTCCTTTAAAGGGACTGAATAATTTACACATAGTCGTCGTATTTCACAAATTACATTTTCATGCTTTCCCCCGAAAAAGAAAACAAAACAAATTTTCAAGTGACTGTTGAAAAACCCAAATAACTAAATATATTTGTGAACCCCAACCTTTAATTTAAATTTGGGATAACAAAATTTCAAAATATGTACTGACTGAATAGCGATAGGAAGGAAAAATCACATTTAAAAAATCCCTTTCACAGACACCGGAATTGTTTAAATTGCCCTTTCCCCAAAAATTGAAGTTTAGACCGTAATTCCATAAATGTAAGGGAAAATTTAAAAACCCTTTCAATATACCCCTAAATTTTAAACTCCTTCCAAAATTACCCTAAAGTTTTAAACATTCATTTTAAATATTCTGGGAAGTTTTAAATATCCTTTCACAAAATACCGTAAATTTTTAAAAAATCCTTTCCCCAAACCCCCTATTTAAAAAATCCATTTCAAAAAATACTGTGGGGTTTTAAAAATCCATTTTTAAATACCCTGTTTCTGTAATTTAAAATCCAAATTTTACATTTTTGTGAGTTTAAAAATCCATTTTCCCTTTTATACCCCTAAATTTTTAAAAACCATTTAATATAGAAACTAAACCCTAATTTATCTTGGAAAAGTATGACATTGACTTATGTACGTTTGTATTAAAGGGATTCAACATGAAAATTTAAAAGTAAAAGTTTTAAAAAAAAGTTTTAAAAAATCTTTGTTTTCTTTTGTTACCGTAGGGAACCCCACAAATTAATTAAAATTAAACCCCAAAAACCCCTAGGGGGTTTTTAAAATTACACAAGCCCAGTGTGGATATAAAACCCGCACAAAGCTATATTGAACATAAAATCTCAAAAGCAGGCTGGGGTAAAAACCTACACAATCAACGTACATATTAAAAACCTACACTAGCTATAAAGTAAAAAACCGCAAAATCCCATAACCCCTTTATTTAAAACAAGAAGGGGTGATTTGTTTTTGGGCCCAAAAATGAAGAAAGGGGACCGGTTTTGAGAAATTTAAAATTTTTTATGTGGGGGGCACCCCCCCCAATTTCTTTTTTTTTTTCCCAAGTTCCGGTTTTTATTGTAAATAAATTGGCTAAAGACAAAATTCAACAAAGGGTATTAATCCAAAGTTATTTACTTAAAAAAATTTTGGGAAAAAAAAAAAAGTTTCCCTTTAAAGGGTTTGAAAATCAGACCCCTGCTTCCTAAGCGCTTTTATGGGGATAGTTTTTTTTAGGGATTTAATTCTTTTTAAAGCACCCGAGTTTGATTTCATCAGGGAACTTCTAAGAGAGTTGCTAAAAAACTTTTTGGGTTTATTTTTTACGAAAAGGCCCCACTTTATCCTTGCATATATGGCTACTTCCCCAAAGAATTAAAAAAATTAAAAAAAAAAAGTTTTTCGAGGGGTTTTAACTCCCAACCCCCCACAAGCGAGCGCGTTAAACCCGCAGCCCCGGAAAATTTTTACAAAACTTAAAACATCAAATCTTCAAATTTTGAAATTCCCTTGGGATTTTTGGTTTTTAACCCTTTTTAATTTCGAGGTATTTTTTTTCAGGTAAAAAGTTTTTTAAAATTAAGGGAAATAATTTAAACGAAAACTTCTCCCAAACAGCCCCAATGTAGAATTTTAAAAAACTATACTCGGTTTTGTTTGTATTCGGGAAACGACACGAAAATATTTTTCATTTATTTAAAAATTTCATTTCCCCGTAATTGTGATTTTCTTTATTTCAATTCCCATAAGCCAGCTTTTTAAAATTTGAATGCTTTGTAATTTTTTTGGATATTTTAAAAATAAAAATTTCTTTCTTTTAATCGCAGTTTTAAAAGGTTTTTAGAACTATTTTTGTTTGGTTTTTCCCTAAACTTTTGTGTAAAAGATTTAATTTCCCCCTTTTTATTTTTTTTTGATCAAAAATAAAAAACAAAAAGCAACTTCGAATTTGGGGGAATTTTTTTGCTTGAAAATTAATGCTTTCCGCTTGGCCCCAATTTTTCCCGTGATTTCCTGGGAAATTTTTGACGTTAGTGGACATATAAAGGGAAATAACCGGGGCAAAAAAGTGGGCTACCTTTTGGGATTTTTCAATTTAAAAGCATTTAAACCGAAATTTCGCTAACCCTTAAATTTTTTTGTCGACGACCCAAAAAATAAAAAATCGACAAAAAGGTATATCGTACAAAAAAAAACGCACGAGGGTATAACGTAATTTAAAAACCTTTAAAAATCTATAACCCTAAAAATAAACCCGGGGCCAATCAAAAAAATTTTTAAAACTTTCGAAGCTATAAACCCACCAAAAAACCCCAATGTATATGAACAAATAAAACTTGCAAAAGTGCCCATACCGTACACAATAAAAAGGACCAAACTAAACGTACTTATTAAAAATTAAAAGAAAGCTATACCCTCCAACCCAAAAAAAACACTTAAAAAACAGTTTTACTTAAAATAAAAAAATTGGCCAAAACGTTTGGGCCCCTTTTAACGGTACAGTAAAAAACAAAATGCTACCTACAATTTTTTAAAACCTGGGTGAAATCTTTAAAATACAAATTAAAACTGCCCTATAAAATTTTTAAAAAGCTAGTTAAAATAACCAAAATACACAATTTAAGTTGTAAATATTAAAACAACCAAGTATGCTGTTTCTGTCAAAAAAAACACAATTATGTTAAAATTAAAAAGATTTTCATAATGAAATTCAAAAATTTTTTAAATTTTTCCCAGTGTTAAATTTTTTACATAAACAAACTACCTAATTTAATGTTGTCATATTTAAATTTTCAAATTCAAAGTTTTTCATATCAAAAATTACAAATTCCCAAAAGTTCATATCACAAAAAATTAAAGTTGTAAACATATCAAAATCTCATAATTCAATGTTGGACATATTTCAAAAATAACATAATCAATGTTGTACTTTAAATCTACATAATTCAATGTTATACATATCAAAATCTACATAATTCAATGTTGTACATATCAAATCTACATAATTCAATGTTGTACATATAAAAATCTACATTATTCAATGTTGTACATATCAAAATCTACATAATTCAATGTTATACATATCAAAATCTACATAATTCAATGTTGTACATATCAAATCTACATAATTCAATGTTGTACATATCAAAATCTACATGATTCAATGTTGTACATAATGAAATCTACATAATTAAATGTTGTACATATCAAAATCTACATAATTCAATGTTGTACATATCACTACATAATTCAATGTTGTACATATCAAAATCTACATAATTCAATGTTGTACATATCAAAATCTACATTATTTAATGTTGTACACATCAAAATCTACATTATTCAATGTTGTTTATATTAAAACTTTCAAAACGCTATGTTGTGCATATCAAAAGATGCATGATTAAAAGTTGTACATAATACAACATTTTACATATCAAAATCTACAGAATACAATGTGGTACATAGCAACACATAAATAATTCAATTATTTTAAAAATCAACAACTATAATTATAATACAATGTTGTACATATCAAAATTTATACAAAGATATGATTTACACAATTCAGTATTTTACATTTAAAAGGCTACTGTTTTGTATAAAAAAGGTTTGATAAAAACATCAATGTATAATGATAGGTTGATATTTACCGGATTCTTTTGTATTATGCAGTTGAAGTATTTCTGCACTAGCAAGCACCATGCCGTAGTATGTAAGGGCGGTACCAAACCATAGCACCAAAGCTGGTAAAGTTGTACTCCCCTATAACCCGGCAAAAAAAAGTAAAATTTAAAGGGTTCCCCCTTTCCAAATTTAAAGGTTTAAGTTTTCAATTTAAATTTTTTTATTATCCCCTTTGATATTTTTTTAAAAATTTGCTTTAATGTCTGCAATAAAATTAAAAATTTTACTGTAAAAATAAAATCGTGTACTATCAAAAAAAGGGAAGGCAAAAAAAAGGAAATTTTTCGGGATTTTTTGGGGGTTTTTACCCCACCACTATTGAGGGCTATCGTGAAATTTTTAGCCTACCCCGGGGGAGGAAAAGTTCATTTTCCTCCCAGTCCCTTTGGGGGGATTCGAACCCACAGCAGTGGGTAACAAATGTAGGGAAACCCTTAACCCTTGGTATGGGAAAAAATAGGGCTTTTTCATTTTTAAGACGAAAAAAAAAATATCGGGAACAAAGATCTTTTAAAGGGCCTTTGACCCCCATAAAGGGAAGACCTTTACATTGTAAAAATCATGTTTTAAAATTTTGAAATTTTAAAAAGTAAATTTTTAATTCAAATTATTTTTGGGGAATACCCCTTTTAAACTTTTTTAATATAAAATTTAAAAAAAAAATTTTTTTTTTTTTTGAAAAAAATAAAGAAATTTTTTTCTTAGTTTTTTAAATTTTATTGATAAAAAAACCCCATTTTTGGAAAAAAGCCCCCAGCCCGGAATTTTTACTGTTTTAAATTTTCAATGGTTTTCTAGAATTTTCAAAAAGCTCACGTTTTTCCCGGACCAAAGAGTTCTTTCAGAAGGGGGAAAAAACTGGAATTTAAAATTCCAAAATTTGAGTTTTTTGTTAAAAAAAAATTTTATAAATAATTTAACAATTCTTTCCCTTTTTCAATAAACTTAATTTCTTGTAAAAGGTAAAATTTTTTTGGGGGAAAAAATGGGGGGGTTTAAAATTCCTTTTTTTTTTAAGTTTTTTAACCCAAAATTTAACATCCCAAACCGAGTATAAAAGTAGATAAAAAAAACCGGGTTTTAAAAAAGAAATTTAATTTTTTTTTTTTTAAAATGGTAAGGGATTTTTTTTTTACAAGTTTTTATTTTTTATTTTTAAAAAACAATTTAAAAACCCAAACAGATTAACAGACGTTGGGGGGTGAGGGGGGGGGGGGGGAAATCCTGTCCCCCAACGGCGATACGGTTTTAAAAACCTAATTTAAAAAAAGTTGTTAAAAGAAAAACCGGGCGGGTTTGCTCAATAGGGGAAGGGGTTTGGGCTGGGAAACCAATTTCCCGGCTTTCGGGGAAGATAAGTTTTTACTCGCAGTCCTCTGCTTTTTGGCTAAAAAAAGTTCTTGCGAAAGGGGGAAAGGAAAGCTTGACAGCCGCCCCGGGAAAGAGCCCCGGGGGTTTTTAATTTTTAAAAATTTTAATTTTGTTTTCATTGAAAATCCGGGGTGAAAAAATTAAACCACCCCCAAATTTACAAGAAAGGGTTTTTAAACGATTTCACAAAACTTTGGGAAAAAATTTCGTTTTCCACAAAAAAATTTTTTAGCCGTCCGGGGGAAACGAAAACCGGGTCACTCCCATTCACAGGGCCCAACCCCTCCCCCATTGAAACTAAAGACGGCCTTAACTTACAAAGGGGAACCATAGTGGGTTTATAAGAGACTATGTAATTCTTAAAAAGAAAAAATTATAATGAGACAGGGGATAGAAGACAAAATCAGTAACCATCTCCAGCCTAACCTCGGTATCACAATGGCGGCGAGACAAATCTCAAACATCGTACCTGTCGCCCAGCGCACACCTGAAAAAGATAAGTCATGTGCCATCAATGTACTTAATAAATGTCTTGAATAGGTTCATTGATATTGCTTTACTATAAAATTCTAGAGTTTCTTTTATTAAAAGTAAGTCGACTTTAAATCATAGTGTGATATGACATAATGCAGAATTATATGTTTTTCAGTTTCTGATAATTTTTAAAAGTGCATTTATTTTTTTTACTGTATACATTCCGTCTGTCCACCTAGCTAATTTGGGAGGGGATCGGATTTTACGGGGGTCGCTGGTGCGATCGTCACGTGAAGCGAAATGTCTCCAATGTCATAAGACATTCCGCCTAATTGCCATTTGATTCAGAAATCATGTTGGATATAGTATAGATAAATTGGTAATAATGTGTTTGTTTGTTTAAAAAGCGGATAGGAAGACCGATCACCGAAATATGGCCAAAAATGTGTTTAAACACATTTTCCATTATACTAAAAGGCCGGCATTTATTGACAGCAACATGCTTAATTAAGTAAGTCACGTGCATGAAAAGTAGAACTCTTTTCAATCCATTATTTTCCGAGATGATTAGAGTATTCGCAGAGGTTTTCGCGAATGTTAAGATAATTTAGCAAGTGGACGCCCGCCAAATTTGACACCGCACTCAGACTGAAAAGGTATGACGATTTCGGTTCCTTTATACGACGAACAAATAACGAAAGGCGGAAATCAACAAAACAGAACGTATACGTTTTCTAAGCACTCGACTGAATTTAATTGGGGGCGTCCCGTGGCCGAGTGGTTAAGGTCGTTGACGTTAAACCCACTTGCCACTCACCGCTGGTTGGTTTCGAATCCCGGGACAGGGACTTGGGGATTTTTTCATAATGAGGAAAAGCTTTCCAGCTTAGCATAAAACCGGAACGGCGGTGGTTCTACTCAGGTTTGCCCGTTCGTGCCTGAAAAATAATAGCACGAAGGGGCACCTGAGGTCTTTCCTCCACAAGGGTAAAGCTGGAAGTCGCGATATATGACCTAATACTGGGTCCGAATGGTGTCGTAAAACCCAAATCAATCAAATCAAACCTGTTTAAATCCGTTGTCCTGTGGGCTTCGGACTTTTTAAAAAGTGCGTCTCTTGGGTAGATGTTAATTATACCAAGGGAAAAAAAATAAAAAAAAAAAAGGGGGGGGGGCTTTTAACCAAATTTTTTTTTCAAAATTTTTTTAAGTAACCGGGGTCACCTTATTTGCAAGTTGTTTACACGAATGGTTTTTTGGTCCAATTCATCAATGCATTTTGTTTTTATGTCATTGCGAGCCTTAGCTTAAATTGATGAAAAAATACTATAGTTAAAAACTTTACACCTCCAAAAAATGAAGTATTTTGCTCTGTATTTTCTTGGTTTAAAATATTCCCTGTAAGAGGGTAAACTGAAAAAATTCGAAAAGTGAATTCGGATAGAGGGATATTGGGGAAATGAGTGTAAGTTTTCAATACGGAATTTTTATTGCACGAATTGAAAAAAATTATTTTTATGCGAGCCTCTGGCGAGGCCATACTGTTTAAATTTTATTCAACGAGTGCAATAAATTCAGTAATGAACTTACACGAATTTAAATTCTATTTATGCAACATATCCAAAATAAAGACCGTTTTTAAAGTGAAATAAGTCATTTATCTTGACCGCGCCTATAGTAAAACGGCAACATTTATGCGGCGTCTGGTATAACGCTTAACGGGCGTCAGTCAAAATGTAATGCCGGCCCGTGCAATACCCTATTTACGGAGGCGGCAAAATCGGCCCACGGGTTTGTGTGAATTAAAAGTGGATACTCTAAGGCAAAAATAAGAAAAAATCATATCTGAAATATTTGATGAAAAATAATAGAGATAAGAAATGGATATTAAATGTGTAGTATTGAGAGAGATTGAATTATTTTCATTCATCAGCAAACTTAAGATACTAAAAATACCAAAAACAGCCAGTTAAAACATGCTCCACCAGTTGAAAGCACAACCCGCCAATTGGACGACACAACAATAAATAATGCCACATATAGCCAGTACCAAACAGAAACACGCCTTTTCCATTACATTTAAATGTTATTTAAAAATTATATAAATATAAATGTGTTTTTTTCGTATTTCTAAAACATGCACTACAACCGATTATATATAAATGATGAAGATTAAAACATATATAACAAGTCTAAAATATGTCATATGCTATGCTGGCTCCATTACTTTGAATCTTAAAAAGGCTTGTTAAAATTGACAAAACACAGGAAATTTTTTAAAAAAAGTAATAAAACGATTATGTATAGATACATTAACTATGCTCTGCTAATAAATGTAGAAAAACAAACTTGTATATAAATAACAACAAAGGCATAATTATTAGAGTATTTTGGTCAGAAATATGTATTTTACTCGAATGGACTTGATCAGGTCAGGATCTCACGAGGCGCTGGGCCACCGGATGTGATCCATTGTGACGTAATCTATCCCATAATTCACAGCAAAATACATGCTCCAGATTATAATACTCATACATTTATATAACATACCCTCTTATGTTAATTTTGATTATATATTAAACCGTATCATAATGCTATTTCGTTTGTAAAGTAAATTCTGAATAGCATTCGTAAACAATACGGGTTTTCTTTTGGTTTGGTCGTAAAAGATTCAGTAAATATAGCAAAATAAATACAAGTAAATTATAAAACGATATATCATATAACCAAAATATATATCTGATATTATCATGCGAATCACTACACCTAACTTACCCATGAGGCATTCCTGCGATCCCAGCACCAACAAGTCCACGCATTATAAGAATCCAGGTGTATGACGGACTGAATGACGTAAGCATGCCAAAATACCAGACCAGCCACGAGGCAAGCATTAGTATCTTTAATATAATACATACATTACAATTATACGGGATATGAAATGAGTTACCCATGTGGTGTTCCCGCCAGAGCCCCTCCAACCAATCCCCGGAGAATTAGAATCCAAACGTATGTTGGACTGAATGTCGTCAATAATCCAAAATACCACACTAGCCATGATATAAGTAACAGTATCTCCCCTTATCAAACACAATGCATTCCCTTATCACATATTTGAGCCGCGTACGAACAAAAAGACAACATAAATGCGTTTGCGAAACTAGCAAATGGATCCAGACGGTCTGCTAAGTAGATGAAACTGACAGCGAAGCCATCATGGATCCTGATTAGACTGCGCGGATGAGCAGGCTGGTCTGGATCCATGCTGGTCGCAAACGCATTACGTTGGTTTTGTCGTGACGCAGCTCATATATATATTTTTAGATTTTAGCAAACTGGCCCTGTGGTTATAAAACTTTTTTTTCTGAGTTAATATTTCTCAAATCTTAGTATTTTCATTGGTCAGAGTACATTCTGTGGGCGTTTCTGACCAATCAAATACTTGAGATCGGAGCTTGGGCTTAGAGAATTTCTTTATAACCTCGAATCATGGTTTATAGTACTAGAGTTTTTAGGTACTAGTATATACCAATAAAATTTTCAATTTACAAACATGATTTTACTGTCACAAATATTTTTTGTTCTACTGCGCAATTTGGAAATTATAAATCCCATAGTGCCCTATAATGGTCACGTTTATGAAAAAAGTAATTTGTACGGAAATTTGTCAATGAGAAAACAATTAGCTTCCCAATTATGTTATAACAGCTGATATTAACAGACATGATTTAGCATTATAATAAACATATATTCTAAACCATGCACATTTCATTCTCTTTAAAAAGATCTATATTGACACAAAGATATGTAATCAGTGATATCATTCTTTTTATTAAGAGTCGTACTATCCGAAATATTTGACCAAACATGAACGTTTTCATTTATTTTGCCCTTCTTTAAATATGGAATTAACAAAGAAAATAATCTTATTATACTATACATTTCTTCTCCCATATTTATCGGCACCCATACCCCAGAAAGGCGACATGCAGCCCATACCAACAAAAACAACCTGCAAATACAGACAAAGTTTCATAACAATACAGGTTTCTGATAATCCCTTTTCACATATGCCTTTAAAATTAACACTTGCTTTTATCAAAATTTTACAGCTTGTGTTACCAATATTTACAACTACCGATGAAGGGCAATAATAACACACCGTATTACCGGCGGCAGTGATGGCAGATCACTGCAGTGGAATGGCAGAAATTCTGAAAATTACGGATCGATACAGGTAGGTTATAAATTTTGGTTGGTTTAATTATGTTACACAAATTACGGCCCATTGCATTGCTATAAAACTATTGTCGCACATTGAATGGAGATACTGTATGGTAATTTTGGACTCGTTTTTTCCTGTTTTAAGACTATTTTGAGCAGGTTAAAAAGTGAAAGCCTTAGAAAAAATCCGTGAAAAAGTCCTGTTTTTCTGTTCAAAATATCTCAAGTTTTAAGTAAATGGCAAGGATTTCCTGTTATCAATATAGACGTTCATCCATTGGGGTCACGCAAGCCAAATATCTACCCGTGAGTCTTTTCTTGAAAGTTTTACAGACGCTCAATTTTGTCCGGTCGAAGAATAAATGCTGGCCGTTGTAGGCAGATACAAATTATAAATGCTGCCGTCGATGGCAGAAATACCATGAAAGTGGCTAACATTCTGACAGAAAATCAAGTTCAATCTTTTATCAATTCCTCTTTTCTTTGCGTCCTTTTTAGTCGGAATTGAGACGTTAAACTATCATTTCTTAATATTTTCTCAAGATAGAAAAGTTATTAACCCATTACCCCATGAGCATCTTGTGAAAAATGGCTGTTTTTCATTGAAAGGTCTCCCGTTACAAGTTCAAGTTGCTATAAAACTATAAAAACTGCTTCAATACTAAATCAAAACTTGGCACAAATGTTGACTGGACCAAATTGCCTTTGTAACAACATGTTTCAGTCTGAAATTTCCTGTTCTCATAGCAACTAGGGGACATCTCAAATTGCCAAAAATCACTATTTTGCGTTTGATTTTTCATCAAAATTGATTTCAAAGTGCTGCACTTTTCAATGGATTGAGAATTAGAGTCAAAGGCTTTTCAGCATTGGTTACACGTTACCTTATGATCGACCTGGGGCCATTTTTTAGCCTCCCACAAGTCCAAAGTTTTTCTTGGCGATGAGGGGGACTCAGCCCCCCTTCAAACCCCCCCAAACAGAAGTCGGGGGGCACATCCCCCTTCTGGAAACCCCTTGATGTATCTTCTGGAATGGGGGGGGTGGGGGGGGGCCGCGCCGAAAAAGTGGTCAATGTTTATAACAACATTTATCAAACAAAAACAAGTGTTTGGGGGCTAACAGAAAAATGATGAAAAAAAAACGAAATTACTCAAAAACGCGTTTTTTTCCATGTTAAAACATGGCCTCACATATAATTTTTGAAGAAAAAATTGCTGTTTTTGTAGATTTTTTTGATTTTTTTCATTAAAGCGGTATGTGCATTCAAAAAAGCTTAATTTAGCAACACGCAGTTACAAATACAAAAAGTTTATGATTTATTACCACAAAATTTCACTTAAATAGAGAAATGACATGAAAAAAATTCATTTTTCTATATTCATGCATGTTAGCTTGATCTGTTGTGTTGGTCAGTTACATGCAATACAATACTATATGTATCTTAAGTTTAGGCAGCGCACTCCCTTTTTAAGACATAACGGCAATTGCATATACAAGCAAGTAACTTCTGTAAGTGGATATTCATTTGCTAGCATATGACATTTTTTCTCGAGGTAATAATGTTCATCGCTTTATGAAAAATAAAGGCTGAAATTTACTTAATCGGCGGAGATTATAAATTATTAAATTGGTGTAATAAAGGGGAGACTATTAACCTAGCCAACTGGCATCAGTGTATCATAAAACAATGTATGTTAATGTAAAATGGAAAGATAATATTATTGACAGTCAAATATTTTCCTATATTATCAAGTTCTTTGAAAAACTAACGACAACGTGGATTCATTTTCTTTAAATTTTCCATGTTTGTAATAGCGTTGTAGTTTGCCTTTGAATTACATTAACAACAGTTCTAACATCACGTGCTCCATTTAACTATATAATATTTTTTTCATTCATTTTAGTTTGTAACCATGACAACTTATAAAGATGAACCTTTCGATGATTCATATCACAAGATGAAAATTAAATCCTGTATTTATAGGAAAAAATAGAATTTTTTTATTTGTTATATTCTTTTTCTCTTTTTTGACCTTTCAATTCATATGAACAGATCGAGCACACATGCAATGAATATAGAAAAATGAAGTTTTTCACGTTCATTTCTCTATTTATAGTGAAATTTTGTCGTACTAAATCATCACTTTTTGTATTGTAAATGCAATGTTGCTAAAAGCTTTTTTTTCGATGCACACATCGCATTAATAACTTTTCTATCTTGAGAAAATATTAGAAATGATTAGTTTAACGTCTCAATTCCGACTAAAGGATGCAAAGAAAAGAGGAATTGATAAAAGATTGAACTTGATTTTCTGTCAGAATGTTAGCCACTTTCGTGGTATTTCTGCCATCGACGGCAGCATTTATAATATGTATCTGCCTACAACGGCAGCATTTTTTCTTCGACCGGACAAGATTTGAGGCGTCTGTAAAAACTTTCAAGTAAAAGACTCACGGGGTAGAATATTTGGGCTTGCGTGACCCAATGGATGAACGTCTATATTCGATAACAGGAAATCCTAGCCATTTACTTAAAAACTTGAAGATAATTTTTGAACAGAAAACAGACATTTTCAACGGAATTTTTTTTCCAAGGCTTTCACTTTTAAACCTGAATTTCAAAAATAGTTCTTAAAAACGGAAAAAAAACGAGTCCAAAATTAGCTTTACAGTATCCTCCATTCAATGGCAATAGTTTTATAAGGATGATATTGGGGGCCGTATTTTGGTGTTTAATATAATAAAACCAACCCAATCTTAAACCTACCTGGTTTTAAACGATCGGTTAATTTTTCAGATATCCTGCCATCACCTGTAGTGATTCTTGCCATAACTGCCGCCGGTAATTACGGTGTGAATAATAGCTGTCATATGTTGCGGTTTGGCTCGGAATATCCGTCCCGAGGGGACCCGCCCATCAGGCGGTAACGAGGCTTGCTCCATGAATTCATAACGGTGGAAATGACGTTCATCCTAGCATGCACTATTCATACATGACTGTTGGCATTAACCTTTTAATGACATGTCGTGCCGGACTTTGCGACTAAAGTAAAAACGATTATTTATTTGGCACCGACCGGTGCACACATTCTGACTAGAACGTTGTAATCATAGGTTTGGAGACCTTTTCTTGTTGAAAAATGTTGTCCAGGGTTAAAATCGTATACATATACATGCACAGTGCGTTAACCTGGAGTGCGGGTATTAGTTTTACCCGCACTCCAGAGCATGCCCATTTGATTGGCTCATTTTTTGCTGGGGGTTTTACATATTGTGACGGCAGTGAAAGTGAAATCGACAGAAAATGTCATATTTAGATTGCTCGTTCATTGGTTCATTTTTGCCGGGGTTTTCATAATGTAACAACAGGGAAACGTTTTTTTATGTTTGACTATGATACAAAAGAGAAAGAAAAACCCCAAAAAACCCCGGTAAAACCCGATTAATACCGGGGCTACCCCCTCGTACAAATCAGTAACCTCGTGTTTGGGGCTCTTTTATTACTTTCTTATTTTACAAAAAATAGGTAAAGACCGCTAAATGTTTGCGTAATTAGGGGCGGGCAAAAACAAAATAAAGTTTAAACTAAAGTTCTTTAAAGTATTTAAAAACGTGAAGATTCATTACTTAATTTATTGAACTCGCAAGAGGCTCGCATAATATAAGTTTATACAACTCTTTCAAAAATTCAGTATTGAATTTATACTCATTTAATATCCTCTATTTATTAAAACATGAACATTGTGTTAACCTCTATTCACAAATAACTATTTTGCTAACCTCAATTCACATATAATTATTGTGTTAACCTCTGTTGACACACCACTATTGTATTAATATCTATTCACATGTCCTCAGCATCTGTTTCAATCAATAATTATACATGTTTAAGTAAAGTAGACATTATGCATGTGTATGCCATAAAAATATTACTTTTGGTGTTTATTGAGCAAAAGACAACAATCTATAGGAAAGTACTATTGTAGCATCGACCACAGATATATGTTTAATACGTTGATGTTGGTTCAGGCCGTGACAAAAAAAAAACAACACAACGATTTATAGTTGATATTGCTTATCACTTTAGAAACGTATATATTCAAACTTTAAAATAAAACTGCATTATTACTGTATTGTATAAAGCAGCTCTGTGCGAATACGACTCGCACACCAGGATATAACTGACATTACAACATTGAAAATTATTTTTCTAGCATTGTTTTTGAAAAAATAACACGAGAGGTTTTAATTGTCTGCTGCTACATTGAATTTGTAGTGTAAGTAACTTGAACTTACAGTGGCTTTTTTAAGTAAGTGGAACATGTCACGCATTTAAAACAAGACAACGGCATCTCATAATTACACAAGTTTTCAAAGTAAGTGGAACATGACACGCATTTAAAACAAGACAACGGCATCTCATAATTACACAAGTTTTCAAAGTAAGTGGAACATGTCACGCATTTAAAACAAGACAACGGTATCTCATTATCACACAAGTTTTCAAAGTAAGTGGAACATGTCACACTTGGAAAACAATACAACGGTAACTTGTACTTACAGTGGTAATTAAAGCAACTTGAGCTTGTGTTAGCCCCCATTCACACCTAACTACTGGAGATAGCACGGCAAGAAGCATCATCTCGCAGGCGTCTGCTGCCTGTAATTAAATCATCATAAATCTATCAATCTATGATCATGTGCAGAATATTTAGTTATTGTATATGTGTTGAAGATGATGTACTATGAACAAGTTCGAATAAAGATATGTTCTGTTCTGTTCTGTTCATGAACCACGATCAAAATAGAGACAAATACCGAACAAATACATTAAAAAAATGATAATTGGAAAAATGAAATGTAGTTATCACGTTAAATTCTCCACTTGTCCAGGATTATTTTTTTACAAATACATTGGATGCATTAAGCCATACATGTAGAAGTAATGGTTCTAAACAAATTAAATGGATATCTAAAACGACTCGATAAAGCTTTTCACACATGCAACATACAATTAAGAGAGTCTCCACAGCTTGAATTAAAATATTGAAAATTGAAACGATGAATTTTTTAGGATAACAAGCTTTCGTTGCGCATAAACCATTGCGTTTAAGATATGCATTTTTTCGGTCGTCTTCATACATAGATATGTATAGTATAGACATAATCAATTTATACGGACGTTATGTGTGTAATGCACACACATTCTGATCCATGCGCAAGTATACATGTACATTAAATTCCGCTTATAACGATATTCAGGGTTCCACAGAATTTATATCATTATATCCAAATATCGTTATATCCGAGAGGCAACCAATTTTTAAAAAAAAAAGAAAAAAAAAAAGAAAAAAAAAAGAGTCGGGAACGCAGCAACATCATCGTTATAAGTGGGGGGGGGGGGTCTTTAAAAGCTATTATGTTATAAGTGGAGTTTACTGTATGTGGTTGCATGTATGCTACTGTCAAATAATTGAAAGCATATCGCATTCAGTGACCGGAAAAATTATTATTTTGTCTTAATATCATTACATCCGTACCGAAAACAAGCCCGTGATGGCCCATAGTCGGAACTGAAACCATCCTAGTCCAAGTTTTTCAACAGCGTCTTCAACAGTATATGTTTCCTCCCCATCATTGTCTCGATCTTCATCGGCTTCTTCCTCCCTCAGTATCTGTCTTGTTGAAAGTTCCACATTGTATTCATCATCATCAGAATTGACCCCGGAAATATCTGTGATGGAAACATATAAGATTAAACAAAATTAATTTTTGCTATAATTAATCATCTTTAACTTGTAACAAACCGGTAATTTCGACACTTTCCACATCCTTGTAATTGTAAAACAAATCCATTTAATGCATAAATGCATATAAAACACAGTTTAATCTGAAACATTTCAATTAGACCAAAGACAAGTAAGACAAAGTTTAAGAAATGAATAACTGCGATGTTACTCTTTCACAAAAAACCATGGTGTCCCTAAAAAGCAAGCTTCTTCATCAATTACTTATAATCGATTTTATAGTAACTGATTAATATGCATGCTATGTGGTCACATATATCTTGTTGAATTCAATATTCATTCCCATCAAATGTCTGTAAAAACTTACTAGTAAAAAATATCCTGCCGTCGGCTAACTCCATAAGAAACAATTTAAATTTAGAAACTTCAAATCACAGTCTTTTTATATAAACAAACTATAAAAAGGTTACTAGTATATTCTAACAGTGTACGTAAAATGTATTCAATTAAACAGAATATTTACACGCATTATTTTAATTAGAAAGTAAACGCTGTCTGTGCATAATTAGTAGTACATCCGTGGAGAAATAAGTCGATATTTCACAGAATGTTGCAGACGATACTTCAATGGTATAATTTTCACCAAGTCCGCCATTTTCTAGGTAAGTTCTACTAGCGTATTATTTGAATTAGTGTGGATGTTTCTTCAAAGATTCATATTGTAAATATAAAGTAAATGTAGACATAAAATAACAGTTACGTCAAACACTTTTAACATTATTCTATATGATTAACATCCACTTTTTGCAGTTTTTATATGAAATATTTTAAATTCATATATGTTTTATGAATATAAACGAAAAGGAAATATCTTATCACTGTTAATCAAAGTCAATTCATCTTAATGCCAGTTAATCTTACAATGTTTGTATAACACCAAACCTAGTTTGTTCTTTTTTTAAAGATATTTACAAAATGTTACATTTTTGTTTATTCCAATAAACTCACTGGCAATATCACTTTCTTAGCGTCTCGTGACGCGCGTGGATCAATATGCTTAAATGTAGCAGACGACATTTATGCCTAAAAGCAAGCAATTTCACAAAATCTCTGAAAGCGACAGATTATATGAACGCCACTAAACGAGTCTACGAGGACAAACAATTACGTTTAAAGAATTATTAATCATTAAAGCTGCACGCCTCCAGATTCATGTTAATTTTCATGAAAATTTTGGAAATGTATTAGAAAGTAAAATATTGTGAGATAAACAAATAAAGCAATTTACATATATTTCAATCGGGACTTACAATCCAAGAAAATTACCAAAAAGTGGTCCACACCCTTACTGCGTTAGTAACACAGTAGAAATATGGTGATAAAATACTGCACAACCAGTGTTAAACCGCATATAACATGTAAAATATAACTTGGATCTTAAATGTTTTACCTTTCTTAAAATTTTAGTACATTTTTCTCAATATTCATTTTCTCGAAATATTTTGGCTCATCTGAAGGCGTGCAGCTTCAAATGTCAGTGCAGTAATTTGTTTCTAAACAGTGATATAAACCATGGAAAAATACGTACACTATAAGAAATAGTCTTTTACGTGTAATTGACAATGTTAATTCTTGTAGTAGATTCCGATTACATGTATATGTTTATTTCAAATCAATTGATCATTGAGAGACTGAAATTACACGATAACATAATTATTGATTAAAATAACAATAAGACATTTAATGTAATTCGACTTTTATGTTACAGGATTGACAAAACCATACAACAATTACGGGTACTTTCCAGCAGTATTTGTACTGCACTATGTGATATTCCAGGCATTTTGTGACATTCCTAATGCGCGGTAAAAATATGTGACATTTACAGCTTGTGGGTAAAAACTTATTAAGTCAAACACACAGTTATAGCTATAACATTTTCAGGTTTAATGTTGTTTTGTGTTGTTGTAAAGCATTCTTCGAAAGGTTGCCAGTTGGTTTGAAATACGTGTATTATTTTTTTAAAAAATCATTGTCAGCTTCACTAACTCAATGGAATGTCTCGCCAAACGTCTTATTAAGTCGCATTATGCCCATCAAAAAAACTGTATATAGTAGTAAACAAATAGAAAGTAAAAAAAGTTTTACCATTTTGCCATTATTCCTTTCAATTTTTATAATTTACTTCGCATAAACGATAGATAACGACAAGCCCATGCAAAGTGGGCTGAAAAAGAAATGTCTAGTTAAATAACCTGTTCGGAACTTACCTTGTAGCGTCCATTTTAAGTATTGTTATTTCATCCGTGTGTTCTACAGAAAATTGAACTTTTACGGAGAGCGATAGCGAACCAGGAGAATGTGTCTATTTCTGTAGAACAGCACGGATGAATACTTACATATTTAGTGTCAAACTTTATTTGGTCTCATTAATATTCACTTTATTACGGCACTACCAATCCGCTTTATTAAACAATTACATGAATGGTGGGTTTGAATTTGATCTTATAAATATGCATAATGTATGCCACTTTTGGCGCAAAGACGCATGTACCAGTTGCACCCTTGCATTTCAGAACGGAATAGGGCGAGTTTTCATTTGCTTGATATTGAAACATTTTTTTCGGAAAACTTTTTGATGAGATGGACATTGATACTCAGTAGTTAATATCTGATATGATGCTAAACAAGTTCACGTAAAGTATTTTTCGATAATTTACGGTCTGTCTACCGAAAAATTGAAGCATGACTTTCCTCTTGGTTACAAATTAAGACCTTTTCATACATTCGTAATAAAAAAAAAACATTAATTGACATTCTGTATTGGTTTTTACTGTTACACGTGCAGTAGATCTATCTTTAAAGCCAAGACGTAAATTTAATTCTGAACTGCATATACGTTTCAACTAAAACCCTATACTGTATATCCTTTATCCATAAATACAAAATTCATGTAGGCTGACATTTAGATGTCATTTTTACTTAATCTATATACAAAAACATCCCGCGAAAGCGCATACATGTGCAATTTTATATGTAAATGACTATTTTTACAAATGCGGTTCTGTGAAGCACTATGAAAAATAGAAGGCGACTATGAACGGTATTTGATAGAGTATCGACTTTTGTTCTTCTATGAAAATTAACACACATAATTTTTAAGAAATACAGCGTTTTCATTGGATGACAAATAAAGCTGGACACTAAATAAACAGTGGGGCAGTCTTCTTTTTATTTAAGGCAGTTTTATTTTTGTATCCTAAACATTTTCCGATTTAAACTGTTGGTCAATCACCATTATTACAGTCAATCTTTAAAAATGTCAGTTCAAATTGAGAGAGCTTGTTGTGATCACTTTAAACTGTGTTTTTTCTTCAATGCATAAATTTACAGTGAAACAATGCATACGAAATAATTTTTGCATCAAGTAAAGTACATCACGGATTTATATTACATAATTTATTATGTAATATAAATCCGTGAGTACATGTAAATAAAACAACACTTACCGTCTTCAGTTGTGTTTAATCTTGAGTATTTTACCGACATCTAAAATCAGAAATATTTTGACGTTCTCATCAACGTACACTGCTTTATATAATAGTACATATAAGGAAAGTTGTTTGAAACATATACTAGTTTGATAAAATCGAGCAAACTGAATAAAGATAACCGCAGGTTAAAGTATATGATATATACATAATTATATATACATTATATAGATAGTTCACATGTACATACTGTAATATCGCACCTGAACATGAACAAAATTATTACTCTGCTTTAACTCCGATAACTTTTGTTAACCCATTACTTCATGAGCATTTTGTGAAAAATGGCTGTTTTCATTGAAAAGTCTCCCGTTACAAGTTCAAATTGCTATAATACTATAAAAACTGCTTCAACACTAATCAAACTTGGCACAAATGTTGACTGGACCATTGCACTTGCAACAACATGCTCAGGCTTAAATTTTCTGTTACCATGGCAACGAGGGGACATCTCAAAAATTGCCAAAAATCACTATTTTGCGTTGATTTTTTCCATCAAAATTGATTTCAAAGTGCTGCACTTTCTCAATGGATTGAGATAGAGTCAAATGCTTTTCAGCGTTGGTTACACGTTACCCTTATGATCAATCTGGGTCATTTACAGCCTCTCACAAGTCCAAAATTTTCTTGGCGATGAGGGGGACTCCGCCCCCCTTCAAAACCCCAAACAGAAGGGGGATACCCCCTGATGTATCTTTTGGTTGGGGGGCCGCGCCGAAAAAGAGGTCACTTTTTTTAACAACATTTCTCACACAAAAACAAGTGTTTGGGGCCTAAATAAGGCATTTTTTTATCATTTGAGACAACAAAAAGGGGGGGGGGGTGAAAAAGGCGTTAAAAGGCGTGTATATGAAGTAATGGGTTAATATGATATTTATACCAAACTGAAGTTAAGATTGTAAAATTTAGACATCCCTCATTCTTCAAAATCAATTTTACATATTAATAGCAACCGCACTACATATGTTTATCTTTAACAACTATTGCAACGTGGATTTAAAGGATATGGCAATTAAACTATGTACACAAAAGGCATACAAAATAGGTTTCTTATAATAACAATTAACGTATTCAAGTGAATCTTTCATTTACTATAAGCCGTGATGTTTAGTACATCAATCGGTCACCACAACGGACATGTAGATTTTAAACATATGAGCCGCGTCATGACAAAACCAACATAATGGGTTTGCGACCAGCATGGATCTACACCAGCCTGCGCATCCGCGCAGTCTGATCAAGATCCAGCAATGCTGTTTGCTTACAAAGTCTATAAAAAGCAGAGAAACTAAAAGCGAACAGCATGGATGCGCAGGCTGGTCTGGATCCATGCTGGTCACAAACCCATTATGTTGGTTTTGTCATGGCGCGGCTCATATGCAAAATACGGTTGTGTCCAAAATAGCACCAGCTCTATCTCGGTATAAGATTCTATGAAGATCTGAGTAAAAAGTTTTATATGTACATTTGTACATATATCTCTGTCTGAAAAGTGTGTATGTTTAACTTAACCCTATGTTATATTTAACCTACAACAATCCCTAACAATATTCAAATTACAAACTAGTGAAGTGTTAATTCTTTTATCATCAATAAAATACCTTTTATTTTAGAATCAGTAAAATACCTTTAATATAAAGCCTTCGAAAACAGAATTGTACTTTCCTCTGAATCACATCTTCAAACTTTACGATCTAATTTTAGAAAAGTAAAAGAAACCAACAACAATACGTAACCTAACGTTATAAATGATCAAGGACATGGAACGTTTTATCTGTACACATCGTTTTTATTTTTTTCACGGAAGAGCGAGTATAAACCATTTGAGCCGTGTCACGACAAAACCAACATAGTGGGTTTGCGACCAGCATGGATCCAGACCAGCCTGCGCTTACAAACCCTAGTAGCGAACAGCATGGATCCTGATCAGACTGCGCGGATGCGCAGGCTGGTCTGGATCCATGCTGGTCGCAAACCCATTATGTTGGATTTGTCGTGATGCGGCTCATTTATGAAGTTCACAACTCAGTTAAGGTCACACTACAATAGAGTCATGCGTACATTTAAGTATGTTTGTGATACTACTTTGAAGCATAAGTTTATTTGCTATCTAGGTTAAGGTAATATGAGAAAATGTTAGTTTACGTATATTTCTATTAAAAGACGAAAATGTGTTGAAAGTTTTTCACATGAAATCATTTATTAAGGTATATTTTATGTCCGTCTTTTCGCATTCAATTCAACTAACGACAACGAATATTATACGTTGAAAAAGGCCAAGGACATAATTATACAACAGGTAATAACTTATAACGTTAGACTTGTATTACGCACGTTAATTTATGTAACAACATGATGATAAAGAATTTTCTGTCATATAAAGAAGTTACTTAAAAACCATTCTAACTTCTACATTAAATGTAAAATTTAAAAGTCGAAGTTAAACACAGTCAAATATAATTGCGCAACATATATATGTTTTTTTCAAACAATCATTTAGAATCTATTATTGTGTACAGTATGTTTTATTTTACAAATTTGATTTTTTTTTTGTTTTCAACCCACGTCGCTCCCAACGGTCGCTTCATTTTGGGTTATTAACTTAATGAAGTATTAACGATCTTCTGTTATATACCATTTGACTTTAAAGGAATTTTATTTCATGCTTTCAAGTGTTTTATTGTTTTATATCAGATGTTTATATTCTGATAAACCACTAGTGAAATTTATAAAATATAATTTTCACAGTAGCCGGACTACATCTGAATGCGGATGAAATGGAATAACAGGCAGAAATAAATTCTGCATGCGTAAATTTTGTTTCTTTAGGAAAAGAAAGTCGATGTTACCATACATAATGTTAAAAATGTAACAAAATTGGAGAAATTTAACAGAACTATATTTCAAAATTGATGATGTGACGTCATGATGTGATAACGTCACAAAGGAGAAAGCGCGACATAACACGGCAAAATCAGTAGCAAATACTTAAAATCACTTCAAAAACATGAAATAAAAAGAAAATTTATTTGTTTTACATATAAGATTGAAATATATTGCATTCGAAAACACCAGCTATTATATTGCATCTTGTGTTCACTCAGTGAAATTATATTTCAATCTTACATGCAAAACAAACAAATATCCTCTACATAGTATCAACGATCTTCTGTTATAGACCAATTCACTTTAAAGGAGTTATAGTATCACATATCTTATGTTATAGACCAATTCACTTTAAAGGATGTATAGTATCACATATCTTATGTTATAGACCAATTCACTTTAAAGGATGTATAGTATCACATATCTTATGTTATAGACCAATTCACTTTAAAGGAGTTATAGTATCACATATCTTATGTTATAGACCAATTCACTTTAAAGGATGTATAGTATCAACGATCTTCTGTTATAGACCAATTCACTTTAAATTATGTATAGTATCACATATCTTATGTTATAGACCAATCACTTTAAAGGAGTTATAGTATCACATATCTTATGTTATAGACCAATTCACTTTAAAGGATGTATAGTATCACATATCTTATGCTATAGACCAATTCACTTTAAAGGATGTATAGTATCAACGATCTTCTGTTATAGACCAATTCACTTTAAAGGATGTATAGTATCACATATCTTATGTTATAGACCAATTCACTTTAAAGGATGTATAGTATCACATACCTTCTGTTATAGACCAATTCACTTTAAAGGGTGTATAGTATCACATATCTCTTATAGACCGATTCACTTTAAAGGATGTATAGTATCACAGATCTGTTATAGACCAAATCACTTTAAAGGAGTTTCCTTTGCTGACATTAAATTCCGAATCAAATGATACTTCTCAAAATATATAAACGTAAAACATCAGACGTTTAGTTCTTAACGTTTAATTCAAATTTTATATGTTTAACCAAAGCATATTTTTGTCTGTAATATTTATGATTTACCGCTTGTAACAAAACTTGGTTATCCAACAATGGGAGAAATGTCACCTCTGAAATTGACAAACAAACATTTTACAAGATTTTTAATTTAAATTCGTCTACATTCATGTATCTTAAGTGATAAATTTTAACTTTGATAATGTTTTATTATTATTATTATTATTATTTACGAACAATATACGCACAACAACTTTTGCTATCAAATATTATATAAAAAAATTTCGATGTTAAATGTTAGGCGTATTTTTTTGTCTTTCAAAAACATATCATCATGTAAAAAGGCAATATTTATATCGATAACATTAACTTTTTTAAACAATTATCCTCTTATAATTATGTAAACCAAAATATTAATATCGATAAAACAAACTCATTCGAGATTATACAGATGAATTGAAGGTATCTTAAATTTTAATGGACAGATCTATATTTAGAATATAGTTTTAGTTACGTCTTTTCGCAAATATAATGTTCCTCTTGATCACATTCTGTATCTTGCCACAGGTAATTATGTGAATGCGCATATTTCACACAATTTTCATTTTTATGATTGTTTGGTTCCCCTGGTGACCAGTTACTATATCCACTGGCGCCGAGTACAGTCATGCTGGTCTCCCACACATACTCCCCCTCTATAAGTTTATCCGACAATCCCATCCACCAAGAATCTGTAGGAGTAGATATTAAGCAAAGATTAATAGTGTAAAATGTTTCTTGTTCTTAAGTGTGCATGTTATAATTTAACGGTTGTTAGTAGATGTGATTAATGTCACATTTTTCATATTTTTGAAAAAAAGAAAAAGAAATAAAAATACAAAATAAATCTACGCACATTTTTGAGGTACAAAATCTTCTTAAGAGTCACGAGGTCTATTTCATATATAATTTTACAATTTTCATATTTTTTAAGAGTAAAACAAAAAATCGTTTCAAAGCAGTTTCTAGTATCATGTCTATGTATATGTTATTTGCAATTAAGTCAGCAACATTTAATTTATTTTATTTCGTAAATAGAATCAAGTATGTGTTTAAAGTTCATGTAATCATTGAATACTATACATTCATGATAACACAGATGTGTATATAATCATTAGTAAAATAGTCATCATTGTTTAAAACATACTCCGAATATTTACGATGAGTTGCGTAAACTTGTGGAATGACTCCGAATGTTTACGGAGTATTGCGAAATATATACGAAGCGTTGGTAAAGTCGGAGCGTTACGGAATGTATACGGTACGGTACATATCCATATCGGTAGTACCCTCTTTGACGGGACCCTCTTTGGACATTCATAGGCCACAATCTACTGGAAACAAATGGGCGACTGACACCAATCCAATGAACGTTCATTCTACTGATAACAGTAGGTACATGTACTTGTTGTGAAAAACAAGTATACCAACCAACAATTATGTCTTTCTAAGGAATTCTTTCAATTTCAATTACCGCAACTCCACAATAAGCTACACAATATTGCGACATTTGCTACGCCCAACGCCTTGGCGTGCTCTTTGGGCTGAACGCCACACATATTATATGTTTCCATTTTTATGTATTCTTCAGATAAATGGCAATAAATTGTCAAAAGTGTATTTAAAATTCATTAAAGCAATGCACTTTCGGATTTGCAGGGGGACGGGTTACCTCTTAACAAATTAATTTTCCTGTCATGGGTACCCTCTTAGCTCGGTACGTATAGATTAGCAAAGGGAATAAGCAATAATACTCTGTAAGGAGTTATATACTAGTAGTGCGTACACTTGCATTTCTATAACATATTCAATCTTTTCTTTTTCTTCGGTTTCAACAAAGCAAATAACGTTAGATGTCATAATTAAAATAAGATTGACAAAAGTAATGGGCCAAAATTTTAAGAAGTGATGACTCAAAACTAACAAGAATATGCTACGAAAATATGTTATACTTTCAGTTTCAAGCTTCAAATGGATAAACTATGTAAAGAAAATATTGGATCAGATGGGAAAAATTTTGTTTGGAACAATCAAATTCTTTCTTTTTCTTCCGTTTCAACAATGCAAAATACGATAAAAACCCAAATAGATATTAATTACTTTATTAATACAGTGCTAAGAGGGTACCTATGATAGGAAAAGTCAGTAGCAAAGAGGTAACCCGTGCCGCTGAGAAAGTACGAAGTTTTTATGAATTTAAAATACATTTTTAACTATTTATTGCTATTTGTCTTAAGGTAATATAAACATTCGTACATGTAAAATGTAGATGTGTACATAATCAAGCAATTTGTTCATTTTAGCCCACAAAACGCACTTAGACTGTGGGTGTGGCGAAATATCGCGATATTGTGTAGCTTTTTATGCAGTTGCAGTAATTGAAAAATGGGCAAATTTCATATAAAGAAATATTTAAAACATTCTAGTGTTCCGTGATATACTTATTTTTCACACCACATACCTACTTTTAACAGTGGAATGAACATTCAATGGATTGTATGGAACGCCTGGACTGTCTTATGTTTAGAATGACTGATATACATGGTTAAATTTCGTTCTGTTGAGTCTGAGATACAATATGCTGGGTGGAAATTCCATTATGTTTGGTGGAAATCCCAATGTGCTCAGTTATTGAAGTGTTACGTTGTGTGCTGATTACATTTTCTTCAGCCAAGTCAATGTATTGTCAGGTGCATTAGTCGTTATGTTCAGTTCTTAAAACAAACAGGCATGTGGTAACACAATTTTGTTGAGTTGAAAAGTTAATGGGAGGTGTTACAGTTATTATGTTCGGTTATAATAATACTGTTTGATGCTTTCTCATTATGTTCAACCATGAAAATAAACAGCTGAGTGGTACTATAATTTTGTTTGGCTCAAGCAGTGTATTATTGGTTGATGCTTTCATTATTTTCAGTTGCAATGACATGCTACTTGGTGTTATATTCATTTTGTTCGGTCGTAAAATAGAACATTTGAATGGTCTATCATTATATTGTGTGCTGATTATTTCTTCTTCACTAAGGTCAATTTATTGTTCGCTGCAAAGGTCGTTATGTTTAGTTATTAAAAAGAACTGTTTCTTGCTACTATCATTATGTTCAGTTCAGGGGTGAAGAGGTCATTATGTTCACAAACTGTTGTGTGGTACCATCATTTTTATGTTATGTTCAGATGATATACAGTATGGTCAAATGTCATTATGTTCAGTTCAGATGATATACAGTATAGTCAAATGTCATTATGTTAAGTTCAGATGATATACAGTACGGTAAAATGCCATAATGTTCAGTTCAGATGATATACAGTATGGTCAAATGTCATTATTTTAAGTTCAGATGGTATACAGTACGGTCAAATATCATTATGTTCAGTTCAGATGGTATACAGTACGGTCAAATGTCCTTATGTTAAGTTCAGATGGTATACAGTACGGTCAAATGTCATTATGTTCAGTTCAGATGGTATACAGTACGGTCAAATATCATTATGTTCAGTTCAGATGGTATACAGTACGGTCAAATGTCATTATGTTCAGTTCAGATGATATACAGTACGGTCAAATGTCATTATGTTCAGTTCAGATGGTATACAGTACGGTCAAATGTCATTATGTTCAGTTCAGATGGTATACAGTACGGTCAAATGTCATTATGTTCAGTTTATTACATTCTCCTCAGTGTACGAAAAGGCGTAAAAGTGATTGAATATATCACTTTTTTCGCCGATTCTAACATCGTACGAACAACGGTGCAAAGAGATGAAGTAAACCTCTTAAAGTGCATCTCGGAGGTTGAAAAGTCGAAATTTAAGTACATGTAGCGCCTTGTCCGGTATATACCGGAATACTGTATTTAGTGCGGTGGTCCAACATATGCAATCTCCTACGCAGTGATCTCCCCTTATCAGTACAATCTGTAAAGTGGGGTATCACTGTGAGGAGTTTGCCAACATACCTCCTGATGATGAAGTTTTGTTGATAAGGTAAGCGTCTTCGTCGGCGCTGTTTACTTCAACCAACATGGCGCCAAAAAGTTTACACGACTCCTAAAATGAAAAATTTAGAAAAAACTGGAATTCATTTTTGTTTGCAATTTCACAAGCAAAAGCACCATATTTATTTCGAAATTGTAAAAAAACCTGTTTATCACATAAAACACAGTGAGGGGGTGTAGCATACACGACGATATTTATTAACTAACTCTCCACTTTAAAGAGCCAAATGATATCTTACATAAGCACCGATCCAGGTCTCCTCACCGTGACTAAAGTAGTAACATGTTTCAGCGTTCATTTCAAAGCCACGTGGACAATCTGCACATGCGCTCTCTGTAGAAAAAATAACTAATTCTTGAAAATGTTCAGGACAGATAACCATGCAATGAAAGCGTTATGCTAATAATCAATTCATTGGGAAGTCATTATAATTATAGTTCAAAACTTCAGCCGAAAAAGGGAAAGAAATATCCGGACATTGAAGACTAACACAAAAACAAATTGTAAGAATTGTTGCAGGCAAGGTTTAATTGAATCCAAGTTTTTCTGAACAAGTAACAAACACAGTTTACCAGCATCAACAACAATTTTATTTTCCCGCATAGTAATCACCATGTTGGACAAAACAATTAAGAAAACACGAAAACTAAGAACAAAAGTACATGCACCTCACAATTGCCGTTGTCTGTATTCGATATTTTCTTTTATCATGGTTCTGACAGTAATAAATATTATTTTAAACTCATAACACTTCTCTTATCAAACAAATAAAAAATCATGAAAAGGTAACAACCCTTGAAATCCATTGACTGATTTTTATCCAGGGTAAAGCACACACATATACACAATAAATACACTTACACATCTTTATAATAAAAGTAAATTAATAAATTTGTCTAAAACGTTCTATGGTAGTTTGTTACAAATATCTGTATCATAGGATGTTCATTTTATAAAACCCCTTAAATTTTACATTCTTAACAGGACTTAAAGTATACATAATTTTCGTAAGACTATAAATTAAATACATATGGAAATTGTAGTTAATGTAAAGAGTAGCGTGCAATAACCTCTGATTGCCAGCCTTATTTCCAATTAGGCCATTGAAAACATACAATACAGATACAAAGCAAACTTAATAAAATGAAATGGTTTCAAATATTTGAGTGTTTTCAAGAGGCAATAGAACATGCAACTCTTCTTACACTCGCTAGCACCGACTAAATAATCCGGATAGAACAAAGGTCTAACATTAAAATTGTAACTACTTGAGTATCTTATCATCAGACATTAAGTAAAAATAGCAAACAGACACAAATGTGATTAAATGTAGTATTTACCTATAACACTCAGTAAAATTACCGTAAACAATACCGATATCATTGTCGCTAAAATTCCGAGTCTTGTCTTTCTATGTATCTAAATGTTTGCAGTTTTTAATATTTACTTTTGTTATCTAACAAAGTCATGAACCTTATAAGCCACTGTTATAGCCTGCCAGTAATTATTGTTGTTTAACGGCAGTGAAATGCGGTCATGGAAATATTTGAGCCGTGTCATGACAAAACCAACATAATGGGTTTGCGACCAGCATGGATACAGACCAGCCTGCGCATCCGCGCAGTCTGATCAGGATCCATGCTGTTCGCTTACACACTCTATAACCAGTGTAGAAACCAATAGCGAACAGCATGGATCCTGATCAGACTGCGCGGATGCGCAGGCTGGTCTGGATCCATGCTGGTCGCAAACCCATTATGCTGGTTTTGTCATGACACGGCTCATTTGCAGACGACAATAAGTGTGACAACATATTTACTGTTCACATGACCTTGATAGTTCTCAATGTAATTTATCTATTTCTTTATACATGTATTACCAATGTTTGATAGGAAACGAAACTTGTGGTTTTTATTTCAAGGTTTTGTTTCCATAATAGATCTATATCAAGTCACAAAAAATCCTCGTTTGTTCAGACTCACAATAAATGAGCCGTGTCACGACAAAACCAACATAATGGGTTTGCGACCAGCATGGATCCAGACCAGCCTGATTAGGATCCATGCTGTTCGCTATCAGTTTCCTTACTTGTTATAGGGTCTGTAAGCGGAAAGCATGGATCCTGATCAGACTGCGCGGATGCGCAGGCTGGTCTGGATCCATGCTGGTCGCAAACCCATTATATTGGTTTTGTCGTGACACGGCTCAAATGATAAAACTATGATTAGTATCAAACTATAGCATTTTCCTAAACTTTATTAATATCCTTTCGGCGGCCACCACCTTTTCAAGCATTTTCATAGAGACCCCCTACCTCAAAGTGTCGCCTCTCAGTCCGTATAGGCAGTTACTGGCGATGTTTCAACCCTATGACATTCTGATTTAGTGGTGTGTGACATAAAAGCGCGCGTCAGAGCACGCGATTTCAGGACGTGACGACATGCGCAGGCTGTTTTGGTGATGTATGCGCGGCTAACTTAAAAAAAACCAACCCCCCCCAAAAAAAAATAATAATAAATAATAATATATAAATAATAAATAAATAAAATTAATATGGAATCTACGGAAGCCCAAAAGTGCCACCTTCGCGAATACGTTTTATTACGTTACAGCTGCTGAAAGGATATAGAATGTAATGTGCATTGTATCACAGCACCTTAACACTTTGCACGGCACGATTTCGTGGATGTTTATAAGCCTTGGGCGATAATTTGCACTTGGCTCAATCAGGCCGAGCCTGCAACATTTTCAATTTCGCCGTTTTACGCCACTATATTTATTGTGGTCAATGACCTATGAACATTAAGTTGTATTACACATAATATGAGGGAGTTGTCTCCCTTGTTTGAAGCTCTCTATTTTGTTTTTCATAAAATGACATTTTGTGCTCGTGTTAATAAACAGTTATATTAAGTCTATCCCGTATTCTTGTTTACTGGCGTTATACTTTCTTTAGGGGCTCCTACTATCATAGTTTAATATCTTTATTTCATACCTTTCCAACGACATTTACACGAGCTTTCAGCTAAACTCAGTGTTAAACTAATCGCAATTTTAAAGAGGCAGTCGTTGACTCCTTTTTTTTAAAATACTGAAAGAAATTAGAGCTTTACAAAACTTGGTTATACTATAATAACTGGGGAAGTTTATGGGTGTGATAAGGTATCTTTATAACGACGTTTAAACAATAACAACACGTACTGTTTTTCGAAATATTATACAACACCTTCATCAGGATAATAATAATAATGACGGAATAATTATAGCGTAACGAACGTTTTTTTAAAGAGACAATTCGTAGGAAGAAAATAATGACTGGCACAGTGTCTGTAAAAGATGCAGTAAAATCTGCCCGACTTGTAACTGTAACAGGCAAGACAAATGTGTCAAAAGTCAGGGAAATAATTGAAAGCTGTTTGCATATCGATATCGCGGGTGCATTTCATTTTGAAATAACGAAAGATTTCTGCCAGATATGATAATTTTTAGCATCTTTTGACCACTTTCTTTGGTTAATTACGTAGTTTGTAAGTGTTGTTTGCAATGTGCACATTGCTTCCTTTGTTCACTTTACAATATTTCGCTTTAACATACATTTCTTATTTTATGTTATTTTCAATACAAGCATGAATCTTGAGGAATTCTGCTGTAAGCGTGTTTGACAATAAATACAACGAATACGGAGAAAGTTTGAAGTTTTAATACAGCTTATTAGCATAAGAACATTTCATACTTAGATTACTAGCTTATCCAATAATGTTCACGTTGCCAACAGGTCTGAAAAATAACAACAAATATTATGTCGTCGAAAGTTGGTCAAAAGCGAATGTACATGATATATTAAGCTTAAGGTCATCTTAAACAGACATTGTTTTGAGCTATATTTAGACATGTTGGACGCCTTAATCGTCATTCTCTAAATTTAGGTTAAAACTTGGTCATAACAATTCTGATAGCATAATAAAAAGTAAAGAATTTATGCTGCTAAATAAATAAAACGGCTCAATAATATATCATCAAAACATTAAACAGCTTTTTTGTAGCACCACCCTAAATACCGTATTCCGGTATATACCGGACAAGGGGCTCAAATGATAAAAAACGCTATAAACTCGCATTTTCACCCGCCGAAATCCACTTTAAGACATCTCATTAATCTCTTCACACCACTATATATACAATAATGAATGAAAAATGTAAAAATCGAAGAAAAAAAGCGATATTTGTCTACTTTGTGATCATGATTTCTGCAAGCGTCTAGATTTACTTCTAGTGACTTAAATCCATACATACCCCTTTTCACAAATGTAGTTCTCAGTCCTCGTACACTCCGCATCAGCCCACTTGTAATTCCTGGAAGATGCGTAAAACACGCAGTTTTCTTTGCCTATGTTATCCGGCTCGGAATTTCCCCAGTTGGTGTATCCAACATCTGTGAGAAGTTCTCGACTTGTTTCCCATTCATATTCTCCTTCCACACGCTTATCAGTAAGGCCGATCCAATAATAATCTAGGTTTAAATTTCATATAAAACAAGTAAAACAAGAAATATTTAAAAGAAAGACAGAAAGAAAAAAGAAAGAAAGAAAGAAAGACTGAAAGACAATCGGCATAAATTCAGAATATGCTTTTTACTGTATGGAATAGTTGGTATTTACATATCCGAATGACGATTTGATAAGAAATTGTGTTTTTGTTTTGACTTAATGTATATATCTTTGCCGTTTGAATGACTTGTCCAGTTCTGACAAATTATATAAAGTTAAATATAAATATATCTATGACACTTTTCTTCTTACAGCTGTTTAAACTGTTCATCAGTGCTGCTCTTTTAATCAGTGTTAAACGTCCTTATTCAGTTGAAAGTTTTTTAACATACAATTCTATTTTTTATACAAAATAGGCCTTCAACGATTTTAACACATCTTTGCGGAATGTTTTATTCTTAAGTGAAAATATGCCTACGCCATATTTCGCCAATGTCTGTTTATTACGTTTTAATGGAATAAAAGAACAGTTTAGAACAGTATATGAATTGGTATTGGCTCATAAAAATTGTATTACAAAAAATGCTAGGAATCGACGTTGAGCCGGATAAAAAAAGAAAAAAAAGAAGAGTTTTTCCTTTAAAAGAAAAACTCCGAACACTACTTACCCAAATGGAACCTATACTTTGTACGTGAAGATCGTACTTGAAGATAGAGGTTCATTTCTATATATGGGTAACCTGACAAAAACATGGCGAATGGCATGCTCTGTAGGCGCCCCTTGTCATCCATTTTGTTTCAAATGATATTAAATTTAACATTCTGATAGGGGTTTGGGTTGGCATTGTACGGGTAGAAATTGTCGAATATTATAAATGGGAACAATGGTAAAACAAACAACACGACAAATGATGAGTAAAAAACAATAAAATGGTACATTTCATAAAAGATCTTGCTCGTCTTCCAAATAAGGAATTGGGCATTACTATTTTTAGTGATGTCAAAATGTAAATTTGAGGTTGGACCTGGTCAGACTACACGGAGGTGTAGGCTGGCTTAGCTATCAACAGGTCTAATAAATTTGCTTCCGGCAGTAAAGTGTAGACATGGCATGAAGGTGTAAAACGAAACAGTTTTTACTTTATATATTGGCAATGATAAGGGCACAAAATAGCATTCTCGAATTCTTTTTGGCGATAAGCTATTCAGTCTGTATACAAAAATACATTGTTTTCCCTATGGAACTCATTTTTCCACCGTAATTATATGACATTTGTCGGTTTAGTTTCTTTTATAATATTTATTTATCAAACAATAAGATTTAAGGGTGTCTTTTATTCTTCTTTATATGCAGCCTATTTAGTGACCTATATAACTTATAACGTAAGTTCACAGCTGAATCTCAATGATATTATTAAATATATCATCTTTTGAAAACATGGTTTATGCATACAGAAAACCATATGTCTTTTTATTATATTATTTTATTATATTTCTATAATAAGCGAAAGATGGCGTTCATGATAAAATCACAGTAATGTTTCTAAAAATCAAGACTATAAACACGTGTACGTACTTCCGAGACTCCTGGCTTTATTGGAAAGGTACAAATCTTCGTCTGCCGAATTTATTTCAACGAGCATTGAGCCAAATATTTTACAAGATTCCTGCAGCAAACAGCAAAATATTCAACAATATTGTAAACAACACAAACAATTCTAACAGAGCGAATGAAAACAATAATTGTCCTTTTTTTGGTAAAGACTACACTTAGAATAAAAATAGTTTTTGTATTCAGACTCCAGATTATTTTTTAAAGTCATATGTCCGAAGACAAATTGTTTTCGTCCGAAGATAAGTTGTTTTCGTGTATTCTCCGATGAAGTGAAAAAGTAAACAAATACCAGTTGAAAGTTCACATTAAAAAAATCGTAAGAACAATTTTAACTTTTTTTTAAAAGCTACTAACAGTAGTCCAAATAACCTCTTGGCTAAAACAAATGCAAAATCTACAAAAAGATAACCGATACATACATAGGCACCTGTCCAAGTTTCTTCGCCGTGACTAAAGAAGTAACAAGTACCATGATGACCTTCAAACCCGTCCGGGCAGTCCGTCCCTATCACTCCTAAATCAAAGAGGGTGAATAGCTACAACGGACAGTATTTTATCAGTTGAATATTTGTTGTTTTGTATCTCATCGTCAAAACCATATGATAGTTTCTAAATTTAAAAGATTAATATTTGTAGGTTTCTATACGTAACCCGTTCTTAAAATAGCAGCTGAATATTTTGATATGAAAACACACTATGAATATATAGCATGTATTTTAGAACGACGTCGTCAGTATCGGAAGTTTGTTATAACTTTACAAAATTTTAAATAAGGTCAGTATTTTTATACTTATATAAAGACAGAGTGCTTAACATGATCTTAGACCTCTTTTCTATGACAAATACCTTGGTCATAAGGATGACAGAGGATAGTCGTTTACAAGACTTCTAAATGACAGGCATCTGATTACGATGGCAATGAAACACAAAACATAGAAAAATGCCACGTAGGTGTACTTTCGGACTAGGTATACATGCATTTGAGCCGCATCACGACAAATCCAACATAATGGGTTTGCGACCAGCATTGATCCAGACAAGCCTGCGCATCCGCACAGTCTGATCAGGATCCATGCAGTTCGCTATCAGTTTCTACTTGTAATAGGGTTTGTAAGCGAACAGCATGGATTCTGATCAGACTGAGCGGATGTGCAGGCTGGTCTGGATCCATGCTGGTCGCAAACCCATTATGTTGGTTTTGTCGTGACGCGGCTCATTTTAATTTTACTTGACAACAATTATTTTACAAAGAAAATGTTCAATGCTTATAGAGATAAAATTTGGAAATCAAATCCTGCAAAAAATATATAAAAAATAGCATTACATAAAATAATGCAAACATTCAATTAAATGTACATATTAAGCACTAGCAGAATGACTGTTTAAGCCTTTTTGATTCATTGGCGGTGATAACCTGCGTATACCAACAGTTAAATCAGGTCAACAGCTTCACTGAGTGATTTAGCCTAGATTTTTAGATATCAAAATTCTTTAGATTAACCAAAAAAATTCTTTTAGATTAACAAAGATTAACAAAAATATTCTTTAGATTAACAAAAAATATCAAAATTCCAAGCGGGAATAGTCCATTTCACAAATAAAGGGGTGAAACAATGGACATACCTTGGACATGCAAAATAGCCAGAGAAATGAACAATAAAACCATTTTGTCAATTGTTGAAAGTCGTAACATAATAGTGGTCTTCCTATTTAGTGCCCTTATCTTACTGAAGGTCAACAGGGGTTTAGATTATTGAAGCAATATTGCATACAAGTTTGCTGAATTTGTGTAATGGATTTTCCATTATTTAAATTTGGAACAGTCCAATAAAGGAGAGCCTCGCTCTTCTTTTTTTAGCCTTGCCTGATAATTTTTGTAATATCAGACACTGACATGGTATTCTATATATATATACAGTTTTCAGAAATGTTTGCTTGCTTTGTATACAATTTTGTTTTATATTGACAACTTTTATATCAACATTGTTTTACATGTTTTCCCCGTCATTTATTAGTTGTTTGTTGTTATATCTAATACTGAATACTATCAACATAATTATTTACCGTATTTATAAACCTTCAATTATAGACCAATTCTATTTATTTTTACTCGTACTAAAAAGAGTAAGAGTACGTAAGTTTCATATTAGATATCTTATTGTAATAGCGTTGATTTTGTAATTTGCAAAAGTCCCGTGGTCGTGAATAAGTCTGGACAACTCATCCTTTCGTTTCTATAAACAATTATATTATCGCAGTTTCCAAATCGATCCAATTGAGACAACCAAGTGCGTGCAATCGATATTTTGTGACCTTGGTTGTTTTTGTTGTGTTAAGTTTAAATATAGATCGTCAGTAACAGGTCATTTAACTTGTTATCTGTTACGTTAGCATAAAATGGAGACTAATATGTGAACTTATACATGTTCAGATTTACATGAATAATATTCAAGCTAGTGTAGAATCTAAGATCAAGATCAAGGACATTAATATTGACAAGATAAGTTTTTATATATAGTAACTAGATTAAATATCTTAACTTTTAACTAAAATGCCGTTGTGTTATATATTCACGAATCTTAAGGATTCAGAAATTTCTCCAGACTTGGAAGAAAATCTAGAGGAATGTATCTCAAAATTAATGAATAAACCAAAGGAGGTGAGTATTTGATATATGAGTATGTATATTATATTATAATTACATCTAGTATAGTAAAAGCGAACTGAAGTGTCATAACTGATTTAAGTGTATGAAATAAAAATAGCAAAAAATGCCTTAAAAACTTAATTTAAAGCGAGTGGCACATGAACAAAGTCATTGATATTCGGATAAAACTCTACTTAAAATAGCAAAATAATATTTTGTTCCGGTATATTTAATTCTGTTTACGTACAATATTCATGTGCGTTAAATAACAGAGACATTCTATGTTACTACTTTTTCTGGAATCAACCCTATAATAATGGAACTCATATAATTTTACTGTTGATAAATTTTATTAAAATAGTTCATAGGATATAGATTTATACCCTTTAAAACAGACATAACATTCAGTTATTTTATCAACTTATAAGTATGTATGGGGGTCGTTGACTTATACTTGATTATGGAGTCTATCCTTCAATAGAATGATCATTAATTAGCTTGAGGCCACGTTAAAATATGTTGTTGAATTATACAAGGTTGTAAAAAATAATAAGTTTCAAACCCTTGGTATTCTGCGGATACAGCTGATTAAATCTCCCACCCATTGCCTGACATATTCCAGACATTTTGTTGCTAGTACGAAACCAATGCATTAACCCGACAGGTCCTCAATTCCCCGCTTCTACCGCCGTTCCCAAAGAATTGGTTGGTCATAGTTCCAAATGACTGGAAAATTTCAAAATGTTTGTTTAAATATAAATGCAGTTATTTTCGTGTTTCTTATTAAAAATGATATTATTATCTGCACACAAATAAGCTTAAATTCATGGTTATTTATCTTTTAAATCTGTTAATCAGAGTTTATTGTGTAATCTCCTTCCTGGGATTCGAGCTTACAATCATCCATTGGTTAACCTTGGTAGTTCCACTATTATTGCATGGAATTTTAAAATGTTTTTTACAGCGGATTACTGTGATGCTGAACACCGGAATACGCATGAGGTTTGGCGGGAAGAAACAACCTGGTATGGTGTGCAATATTCATTCTATAGCCGTATTTGACGAGAAAAGAAATCCAGGATATTTTCCGCAATTATTTGACGTATTGACGTCGGCAACAAAACTTCCAGCAAGCAGGTAAGCTGTCGTGTAAAATAGTAACAGCATTAAATTTTATCACATTCCCGGTACCCTTTCAGATTTTTCGACTCCGCAAATATGGAATTGCACGGCCTTGCATATATTTTGACGTGACGTCATTTGCGTTATACATAGTGTTCAACGTTCAAGGTCAAAATGGCAGACACAAAGAAATTGGTATGAAAAGCTGACACAACTTTTAATGCTAATATGCCAAAATGCAATAACCTAGGTCATTACTTGCAGTTAATTTGTTGTCATCTACAAACGTTGTTCAAATTATATCTCTAGGTTCAAAATTGACCCTACCCCTGGCGTCCTTGATTTTCCGAACATATATATTGCAGGACCATTTTCTTTTCTAGAGGCGGTGGATCTTTTTCAAGGTTGTTGACATAGTGATCATTGGGTCAACCGAGGCCCTGCCCTGCGGGTAATGGGTAAACCTTATCGGTTTAAGTATAGTTAATACTTAAATATCTTATTTTCTGATTTCACCAGTGCTAGTGCTTAGATGTGTGGCAAGATACATCATTACATAGATTTTTACCAGGAATGTTCAAATTATGGCACTGGGGTCAACATTGGTCATGTACTTGTAATTAACTTTAAACTTTCAAAAATCTTGTTCCCTCTGTAAACCCAAAGGCTAAAGCTATGATATTTGGCATAAAACATTGTGTAGTTGACATCTAATTATTGTTCTTGGGTCAAATTTGGCCAACGGGTGTGTGTGTGTGGGGTGGGGGTCAGGTGTTTTTTCTTTGTGTACATAGTTAACATTTATTAAATCTACGGTCCGAAGGTTAGTTAGAACGGACTAGTAGATGACCCCTATAGATTTTGATTTCAGTCGGTCAAAGGTCAAGCGCACACAGACCATCTTGTCAATATCATAACGGTACACACCACCATTGTAACGTTATGTCCTCAGGTGGGTGCTTTGGCGCCAATGGCCCCTTGAATTAATAATAAAGCAGATGCCTTAACATACTATTATGATGATTCTACCCTTTAGCTTAAAGCTTAAAGAAATTGATATGTTATAATTGGGCATGATTATTACTTCTCTTTCTATGTATAAGAAAACATTTTACATGGAGCAGCACAAAATCAGTAATATGCATGGAACATGACGAAGATGTACGAATGTAGTCAAACAATCACAAACGTCACTACTCGGCTTTCTAGAAAAACTTACTGAAGTCGCCCAAGGCGATTAATGGCGGATTGATTTCCTCTATTTTGTCCTTGAGCTGTATACTACTTATTAGTACGAATTTCTTCTAACTTATTATTTCTGAGTAACAATTGTCAGACAAGTAGAAAATAACATTGATATAAGTCACATCATTCTTATATTTGATTGATATATTTTTGGGAATTATTTTCAGCATCACCATAGAATTAACAGACCTTCCTGCTTACATGGCATTAAATGGCGCCGCTCTTTCTTAGCACTATGTGGAAAATTAACTTGAAGAAGAAATTTTGTCGCTGTGAGCAATGAAATAGCAGTTGTGGATCGGTTTTCTATTCCTTTTTGCCACGTTTAAATGTTGTCTGTGGATAATCGCGAATAATAATAATAATTATAAAAATGTTGTAATCAAATAAGTTTCTTATTATTTTATACTCTTTTTGCTTATTACAAAGTCAAACAAAATCAAGAATTCATCACATTTCATGTTCAAGCTGCTTATACTCGCCCCTGACAACTTAACATTGGATTAAACAGTGTTCAAGATTAGCTCCCTTTAATAACTATTAGATAGCTGGACATATTTATTCTGCCTAATGAGTTATGGCTCTTACTTTAACGCTAACTCACAAGAGAATAAAAGAGCTTTCAAGGTTCGAACTTGACTGAAACAATGACCAGAGAGAGAGGTACACAGGGCGTCTTCCTGCACCTAATAAGATTCACGTAGCTTTTAAACAGTCATATTGTAAAGACAAAATAAAATTTTACAATTATGTAAAACATAAGTAACACCAGACAACATGAGAGTCCAATTTAAGGTGAAAATGTGGGTTTTTAGTGTTTAATCATTTGATCCCCTTATCCGGTATATACCGGAATACGGTATTTAGTGTGGTGCTCCAACATTTTTCTGCTCCCCAAAAAATTTTCGGGGGAGCATTTAGACGCCGGGTTGTCCGTCCGTCCGTCCGTCAGTCAGTCAGTCCGTCCGTCCGTACGTACGTCCCGAATTCGTGTCCGGCCCATAACTTTGTTATTTGAAGTCGGATTTTACAACTAGTTCACAGAAATGATCACCATACTAAGACGACGTGTCGCACGCAACATTTGGAACGCTACCTTGAAGGTCAAGGTAACAGCATGACCTTGCAGCAAAATCGTGTCCGACCCATAACTTCGTTATTTGAAGTCGGATTTTACAACTTTTTTCACAGAAATGATCACAATATTGAGTCGACGTGTCGCGCGCAACATTTGGGTCACTACCTTGAAGGTCAAGGTCACAGCATGACCTTGAAGTGAAATCGTGTCAGGCCAATAACTTCGTAATTTGAAGTCAGATTTTTCAACTATTTCACAGAGATGATCACCATATTGAGACAACGTATCGCGCACAACATTTGTGTAGCTAACTTGAAGGTCAATGTCAAAGCATGGCCTTGCAGCAAAATCGTGTCCGGCCCAAAATTTCGTTATTTGAAGTCGGATTTTACAACTATTTCAACATAAACAATCAAAATATTTAGACGACGTGTCGCACGCAACATTTGGGTCGCTACCTTGAAGGTCAACGTAACAGCATGACCTTGAAGCGAAATCGTGTCAGGCCTATAACTTCGTTATTTGAAGTCGGATTTTACAACTATTTCACAGAGATGATCACAATTTTGAGACAATGTGTCGCGCACAACATTTGGGTGGCTACCTTGAAGGTCAAGGTCACAGCATGACCTTCCAGCAAAATCGTGTTTGAGACGGCGTGTCGCGCGCATGTCGGTAGATAGATCAAATTGAGTAGAAGTGCAGTGCAAAGAACAGTAACTCTGCCTTGCCTAAGTCTGTAATTATCACGCTTTGAACTCTGTCTAGAACAAACTCTGAAACTACAAAATATATACATTTCTGTGTCCGAAACCTAGTCGGGGAGCATCAGCCGGTTAAACCGGTTCTTGTTTTTCAGTGTCACTTAATATGTATACCTAACGATTTGTAATTCGAAAGAAAATCATGCACAACAAACAAAAAGTATTTTTAAAAAAGATACTCACTTTTAAAGAAGTAAAAAATGGTAAACATGCAAAATTACGTTATTTCTTTGTTTTCAGTACAAAAAGAAATGTTAGCAATGTTTTCATAATGATTTTATAATAATCATTTCTTGTAGCTAAGAAAATATCCAAATGTAAATATTGAAATTTAATTATAGCATATTGATATTGATGATTTTTCAAAGTAAGACAACTTCTATTTAAGGTGTCCCTTTAACTTGTTTCACGTTTGACTTTTTAAATTTTGTAATCATTAACAAATTTACTACTTTTAAAGAACTCTACTCATTCCTGTACATTTTATTTTGGAACTATCCTTTACATTTTATCTAATAGTGGCAAAACTACCCTTTACATTTTGCATACTTTTCTATTGTTGGGCATTATATTTGTTTGCACGCGGCCGAGTATTAATTACTGTACCGTTCTGTGAGAAACAAAATGCGAATGTGTACAGTAGGGGCCTTAATAAAACAGCCGCAGAATTTAAATCACGTTTTGTCCAAAGGGTGTGCAGGAAAAATAAAGTCCGCAGAAATAAAAACATGCCAAAATTAGGAAAAACCGCATAATTTGACACCCGCAGAAAAAAAACAACACTTATACGGTAATATGCATTTGATTAGATACAATAAATATTTCTCAGGAACATGAACATTGACAACTAAATCCTACTGTCTGTCCATGCCTTTAATCTACACTACCAACTAGCAAAAGGAAGTGTTACTTATTAAATGAGTTTGACTAAAACAGTGTATAGAGTAATTGAAGTACACTGTTCATGTCCCCATTAACGATATAAGGCTGCATTCAACATTTGTAAACGACTGGTTAAACTTCTATGTACCAATCTATCGTCAGTTAATGTCAGAATCCTTGTTGGGACGTAGGAGGGACTATAAAACTATGGTTAGACATGTTTAATATTAGCTATGGCTGTACTGAACTGCTCTGGGACAGGGATTTGGGTAAATGTGGGAAGTAGGTGGTTTCAATGGTAAACTACAGTCCTAGGTGGATAATTTATAATAGTCTGAAGTTGATTTTATAGTGGATTTGACATGACGTGTTCGGGAAAGAGGTGTAGGATAATTTTCTATGGGGAAAGTTAACATACCATTATGAATCTGGAAGAAAAAAGAATAATATTGAACATTTTTTGTAGTCCCTTCAAGTAAAAACTATAATTATTGGAGCCCCTTAAACAAGATAAAATATCAACCTAAATCTACAGGATCGTTTGTGCTGTGCACATTTGATAATCCCTGCTTTATTTTGTTAATGTTAGAGCTTGTACAACTTCATTATCCAAGGAGCAGAACGCATGATAACGTAAGTGGTTAGCTAATCTTTAGAAATGTTTAAAACACTCGGAACGTCTTTAAGAATATTTGACTGTCAAAATATATTAAATATTCAAGAGAAAAAAGGATATTTCGAAGATAGACATTGTCTTTGCATGCGTTCTGATTGCAAACGGCAATTGCAATATCTCGGTTATATTTAATGTAATTTATCTTAAGTTTGACGGACATTGCATGGAAGTTGCGATTGTGCAAACAGATGTAAATCTCATGAAAAGTGCGACCTAATGGTATCTATATTTTCAATTCAAAGCGAGCTCGAGCTTTACGGTAACGCGAGTACCTGCTAGATAGTGATGGTTTTAAAAACTTTCGCTTGAAGTTCTGCAAAATGATTGGTAATAGACCAAACGCAACTGTTCAGCTTACAAGATAAGGTTAAATGGCGAGGAATTCTGATTGAAAACGTCTGCGCAGACTGGTCTCCTGTGCACTTCTAAGGAAACCATAATAGGACAGTGAACCAGAATTTCTGCCAAAGAGCTCGCTCTGAGGCTTTGCCTTATTCATATTATTGTAACGGCTCCATGCATATGGAGTGCATGAACACAAACTCATGGCGACACAAATGCTCAAAGCTTTGCTTACTTCACAAATTATTAACCTTTTAAGAGCGATATCACCTTCTTTAAAATGTTATCAGTAAAGGTGCATCACCTGCTTTTGAACATTGGAGAGGTACATTGTACCTGTTACCCGCTAATGGTGCGCTTGAGAAGAGTGTGGTTTTTCCCTTTTCTTAGCTTAGTCTGAGAAGCTGCTGAAATCTGAGCATGGAAATGGTGTTCTCTTTTAATGCACTTTGTTACAGATATTTTGATGTTTTTACATTTGGTACGGTTATAATATACGACATCGAGTTGCAATATATGTTCATCAAATATAATATTCTAAACATAAATATATTATTTTTATTCAAGGTTACCATAATATTAAAAAAATGTTACAAACTTAGTATGTGTAATCAATCACTTAATATTAAAATACGACTGAACATAGGTTCAAAGACTATGTTACAAATTATCGTTAACAAAACTTTAAAGCAGCATGCTAACTTTAATGAACAATTTTAAAAGTAATAAGAAGAAAAAATAATGTCAAGTGAACAAAGAAATGAATTAAACCATTACAAACAGCACTTAAAATCTACCAAAATTGTCAAATATAGGTCAAAATATGCAAATACAGCCCTAACTGCGTCAATAACTCAGTAGACATATGATAATAAAGTCTGCAAAATCAGTCATGAAATAAAAGGCGTGTAGCATGTAAATTATTTCATAAATTGTGAATATCTTTACTTTTCTTAAAATCTTAGTATATTTTTTTCAAGGTTGATTTTAATGAAATATTTTGAATCATCTGGAGGCACACAGCTTTAAGCCAATATATTGGTAGGACCGATATAGTATGTCCCAGATCACATCATGCTTCCATTTAGGACTTATTTAGAGCAGTTTCTTAAACACTTGCTTTGTACGTCCATTGTAGGTGATTTTCTTACTGCTCTGGCTGTTGTCATTATACATGACCATTTCTGTGTTTTACTTATGTTACCCTCTGTATACCTAACAAATGTTGGAATTTCACGGGGATTAATTTCATTGACATTGTGTCGTATTACAAGAAAATGTTGACATTGATGCACCAACCATTTCATACAAACACCTTTTCAGTAGTGCCTTTGCAGCTGACCGTTCATAGGCGGTGCCTCTCTATGTTCATTTAGATGTCAGCCTTGTTACCTTTCTTATGTAGTGTTGCTTCTTGTGAACTCAAAGTTACTTTTTTTCGCCAATTATTCTTGGAATTTAAGGACATGATCCATATAGTTTTCATGTGCGGGTCCAATATTTCTCCTTACATGATCGTTTGATATGATGTTTGACCTTATCACATGGATAGTATTAATTCAATTGCAACAGCCTATATATGTTCTTAATTTGATCTAGTGCAGTTGTGCTGCTGAA